TAAAAGCAAGTTCATTTCTATTACCATTTTCAAATGATAAGCCACTTCCGGTTTGGGCCTTTTTCGACCGGAAGCAAGGGTCACGTGATTGCACGCACACTGAATGAAATGAAGACCTTAACCTGCTCTACCACTTGCCGGCAACAGAATGCTGCGGACGCGTACGGTTGATTTCTTATGCATTTTTAAATATTAAAAGTGTCACAATTTAATTGCCTATAAATAAACACAGGATGACGTCATCATGACGTCATCATTCCACAATGTTGTTTGAATTAGGGTCTTTGCTTGGACAAAGATTGGTGTAAATGAATTACTGGCAAAGAGTCAAAAATGCCCTTTGAAAATCGACAATTATTTTTTAATTTCTGTGTACAAAGTCTATGGGAAAAATTAAATATTCAAAAATCTATAATAAATTAGTCGATGACGTCACCATGACGTCAATCTTCGGGACACATCTTTGCTATAGGGGCTATGCTTATGCTAACTTTGAATGATGTATGACAAAGATTAATGCCAAAAGTGACGTGTAGAATTAACGTGTACAAAGTCTATGGGGTTTTGGGAAAAAAAGAAGAAGAAGAAGAAGAAGAAGAAAGAAAAAAAATCAGAACAAAAAGAAAGGCTTTTCCGCAATAATGCGGAAAAGCCAAAAAAAGAAGAAAAAAGAAAAAAAAAAATCTTAACGAAAACAAGAGCTGTTTCGGTGTGTCACCGAAACAGCTAAAAAGAAAAAGAAAAAAAAAAATCTTAACGAAAACAAGAGCTGTTTCGGTGTGTTACCGAAACAGCTAAAAAAAAAATCTTAACGAAAACAAGAGCTGTTTCGGTGTGTTACCGAAACAGCTAATTAATGAGCGGTTAGTGGAAAAAGGAATGTGTGTTACATGTACCTTGCAAGATGAGTTTCAATGGCAGTTTTTTTTACTGTGCCATCATTTTCATGCACATCATGTGTTCAAGAACATCATGCCTCAGAAAAAAACAACCACAACATTTTATGATTCCAAAACAAAGGAATTTTTAATATTCATATTACAAATTCTTCTGTACAAAGGAATCTTCAGTATCTTTTTATACTTACCTTAATTAAGGTTAAGCAAAAGCAATGGGCAGTGTACAATCACGTGTACATGTACATGATTCAGGTAAAGATTTTATTGCATACATGTAAGCAGAAAAAGGAAGCTCGTGTATCAATGCCAAAAAAAGGCCCAAACAAAAAGCAAATGCCTTTGAGAGCAAAATGTTAAAAAAATTACAAATCCCTTATCTCAGTTACATGTTTTACGAAAATCTTTGTTTCAGAAAAGTGTCAACTTTTTTTCTCATCCATCATTTTCTTTGCAAACTGTTTAATATATTTTTAAAGTGAAAAGTGCAATTTTTTTTTAAGGACTACATAATTTGTTCTAAAGATAGAATCCAATTGATGACTTGTTTTGAGCAAATGACTATCTATACATCACATTTCCACATGTTTTGATGAACAGTAAACAACATTTGCCTCTTCGTTTTTGAGCCGGAAGCATGTTAAACAGTATTATCTGGGGATGCATCAATTCATTGGACTGCTCACTGCATCATTATCAAGAGATTTTGAAAAGTCTGAACAGCGTTTGAAAATGCCATTACAGAAATTGGCCTCGGGCTAAATATAGCAAGGACGAAAACCAAAAACGTGTTCCAGACAAGGCAACATTAAAAGGTCGACAATAAGAGGACTCTTAATTTGTCTTGAAATCATTTGAAATCCCCAAATACAAATTAATTCAAACTTATGACATTTAAATCGCTTTCAATCACTAACATCACTCATTTACCCTTTTTATCTGAACTTATTCACATTTCTAAAAATTTACGATACTGAGCATTATTTTATGTTAAAATTTTCTTTCCTATTTAAGTCTAAAATCAAAATGAGTACAAGATTTTTTTTCATAGATTTGTCATTCCTTTTAAGTCTAAAACATTTTGAATAATTTTAGAGATTTCCTTAAAATGCGAAAAAAATTACCCAATTGTACTTTCACAAATATTGTTTTAAGATTCCTCCAAACAAAATCAAAATCTGGTCTAATGAAACATAAAAGTCACTCATTTATAAATTCATTTGTTTTGTTTTAAATCTTTTTAACACTTTCCAAACAAAGCAGGAACATTCCAACAAATAATTTTCTTACAAGTTGCCTTCATCCTGCCATTTATTTGACACGTGTTTTGTGGATCTGTAGAGGCAGACGAATTAACTTCTCAAAACAAAGCCATGAGGGTAGGACTTGGCGTAATGCATGCACCCGTGCATGAAAGCAGTTCATCAAAACATACACATATTAGTACACGTACATGTTTGAGTGGCAGATGCTGTGACAGTTTGTTTTGAAGCCAAACTGTTTAAAAATAAACTAAAGAAAAAAAAAGATATATTGCGGCTTCTCTCATGTGTACATGTATATAAATAAAACATAAGATAAACAAAAATACGGCTTTCATTTTCAGAACAATAATGTGTAGTACAGTCTTCAATAATACTAACTGTAGTACATTGTTGAAGTAAATTAATTTGCCACAAATGGACTTTTTCCATTTTTTTTTGAAGGTGTCACAGTAAAGTTTGTTTGTTTTTTTGGGTTTTTTTTTTGGGGGGGGGGGGGTTTGGGGGGGGGGGGGGTTTGGGGGGGTGTTTGTTTGTGTTTGTTGGGGTTGTTAGTGTGTTTATTTGTTGGAGATGTTGAGTTTGTATCTGCATTCAATAGGGGACGATGTTTGTTTGTTGTTTTTGATTTTTTTGTGGGAGTGTTTTCTTTGCCAAAATGTAGTCGTTTAACCCGTAAGCTTGGATCAGGGATAAGTTTAAAGGGAATGTACAACATTTGTTTTTGTTGTAATTTTCAGAAATAAGTTGATTTGGAGGATTAGTATGATATAGCAAATATTGTTAAACTGACTTGTTTCACGTTTTGGGCTTGCAGATGCTGGAAAAACCAAGAAAACCAATCATGTTCTTGTAGTCTGGTTCCCTGACCCCACTTAAGATGATACAGAGCAATTAATAGACTTTGGGGAATTGTAAGGTCAGAGAATCAGTCTAGCTGACTTGAACCCCCTTCACCATGTTCACAGACGTGTAATCAACTGCAAAGAAAACACGGAATAACTTAATATGAAAAATTAGTTAGCACTTTTTGAAAAAAAAAAAGTTTTCTCCAACGCTGGTCGGCCGACCACCGTTGGAAAAATACAAGTTTTCTTAAAAATGTCAGCACGCCAGGAGCCAAGATTTTACAGGATGCTTTAGACTTAACCATACAGTAAGATATTTCGGGATAACTTGATCATTTCGTTTTTTTGATGTTTGCAAATGTTGTTTTCTCCCTTTAACTTTCTAATGGTGACCGTGTACTCCATGTAAATTTTTACAAAAGTAAAATTTCACAAAAATAACATCTGCTGCCTATTGCAATGCTGGCCCTCTAAACTGAAATTTATACCAACTACAGTTTGCCTGACATTTCTATGTTAGCTCAATGTATTGATCCCACCAAGTCTACAAATATCTGCCCAGGGAAAAAATTCTGCTAAAAATATCAAAGCATTTTACGATTTCAAAGAAAACACGTCAATAAATGTGTTTGTTCAGTTTTTACAAATTTGTATCAGTAGATCTACACATCTATGATTTCCTCCAAACCATGGAGATTTGACGAAAGTCACAAGGGAAACCTTTTGTTTTGGTTTAGTTAGGAGAAAAAGTCACACAAGTAGGACTAGTTTGAATTGACAATGCGTTATTTATAGCCATGCTACCATGCATATAAATCAAACGACAACATAGGAACTTTTTGTATCCACATCAGAAAGGATTTACGAATTCATGAAATTTAAATCTGGCAAGCAATGCAGTCATGGCAGTCTTGAAAACAAAGTAAAGGGCAAGGGAAGATAAACAAGAGCGCAACTCATGAAATCTTAATAGTTCTAAATATGCAATCAGTCTAAAAACCATAAATGGTAGGGGATATTCCAGGAAGAGATCAGTTGAAATAAATTTATCAAAGATTACCTTTATCTAAAAAAAATAAAACACAGCACCTTAAATTAGCTTTTAAGATTTTTGTAAAATTTGTACTTTTGAGAAATTACTCACAGAATGGATAGATTAATTCCCATATCTGGCCATCACTTGTCACCCTGCGCACAAACCGTATAAGAGTGGTCTGAAAGTTTCTACGTGTTTTCTCAGTAATGAGTAAATACTTTGATACTTTCCCCGCTAAATTTGACTTTTTAGGACATTATCACTTTCTAATGGCTGATAGGTCCCTGAAGGGAAAAATGAGTGATGGCCAGAAATGGGAATCTTTCCCAAGGAATTACGTTCACTGAAAACCGCAAAATTATTGCTGCCCGTTCCCACACTAGCTGGGCTAAGGCAGGGGGGGGGGGAATACTAATCAATGGCTGACATTATTTTGTTAGATGGAAACCGACATTCTACACTTAGTTTTGACTATTTATTTTTGTTATTTACAACACAACTGGAACAGTTTCTCAGTCCTAGGCCTACCCCTTTTTAGTGGTATTAAAACATAGGCCTATCTCTTATTTTTTGCAAAATGATCTTCGGAACAAATGTTGCAACCTGACGCTACTTCACTGCGGTTGTGTACAAAGTCTATGGTAGACAAGTTTCTAAGTATTTCCTAACAAAATTGGAAATGTTTCTCAGAGCAAGATTCATGTCTATCATTTTCGCAATGACTGACCTTCATTGAGATGATACAATGTATATGAAGAAAAAAGCAGCATCAGGTTGCAACATTCTTTCCTGATCTTCAAAATTAAAGTTTAATCGGACCAGTAATTTCAAGTGAATTTCAAAACTCAAGTTTCCTGCCAGTTCATCAATACAAAACCAAAACATGTTTTGTTTGAAGCTTCAAAGTTTCATCGGAATAATTCACACACACACACAAAAGAAGTCGATGGATTCCTACCTCCATTTATTGACCCCCTGGTTAGGTGATCTGGCAAACCAAGGATCCAAGATGTACACACATCGGAAGGTTTTCGCCCCCACCAGAGCCTCTCTCAAAGCGGGGTTGTCGTGCAGCCGCAGACCCTTGTTACGGAACCAGTGTACCAATGACACCCCTCGACGAGAGCTGCCGCGGGTTCGTTTCCTTTTCCCCATTTTTCAGTTTCTCGATCGACAGAAAGTTGAGAGATATTTGACCGTCTTGGTTGTAAGTAGAGGGACGAAGACTTAATTATCCATACGGCAACATTCTGAAAGATTTCAGCTGTGGGTTAAGCTAAACGAAGGCAACTCTTGTCACTTCATCCATGGAGCGGAGGAAAATGCTTTAACTGACACACTGCAGCGCAGCAAGCACAAAAATAAATGCGATAGGGCCTATGCGGACGTACGTACGTACGTCCAGCTGAAGACGGCTTTCGGAATGGTTTTTTTATTTATATTATGTAACTTGCCCGACTGAGAATATAGCCCGATTGCACTGAACTAATTCAAGTGAGAATTTCTACGCAAGTCATTAGCATAAAAAGTGCCCCCCCCCCCCCCCACAATTTCTTTTGAAAACGAAGACCGTTTGGCTTTAAAAACGGTGGAATTGTGTAAATATACCCAAGGATCAACTCCCTGGTTTTTGGGCTTCCATCTGAGGGCAGGCTTGATAAAATCACGGGTGAAAAATGGGTCCTATAGTATTTGCCTGTGAAAGTGGAAGGATGCCACTTGTAAAATGGCTACATGCAGGCTTGGGAACCGTGACTATAACTTTTCGCCGCGGGAGGTGATTTTATTTGGGTGTAAATATTTTAAAATGTAATTGGCTAATCGACCTAAAATTGAAAAGAAATGAAAAGATGAAAGACAAGACAATCATTTAATTTTTGTTTGAGAGACCCCAGTGATGTTGGCTTGCATGTTATTTGGCCCTGAACTTCAACTTTGTTGATTTTACACTGTTTTCAATGGGGCTTGAATTAGTGCAGTGGACCCCGGAATGGGTGTGCACGTTAAGTGCATCAGGGATCTTCCACACCAGGATAAACGACGGCCGGAGTGCATCGTGAGTGCATGTGATCGGAAGAAAAACGCCGCAAGCTTCATGGGCGGCTTAGAAAATCAAACCTTAACATTTTATCATCTATATGCAATATGACAATATAAAGACATTTCATGTTTTAGTTGATGTTTCAAAAGGAAAGACACGAGAAGTGGGGTGCACATTCCAAGATCGGAACCTGACTTTGGATGTGATGGGGAGGGGGAGACTTTGGGTAGTTCCCTGGTTAAAGTTGTCCATCAAAGCAAGTCTCGGTTTGTTCGTTTGCTTTTAATTGTTTCGGCTTTTTAATTAATATTTTTTAATTGTTTTGTTTAATTTGAATTGAGACATCGAAAAAAAAATCCAGTGCACCAACGTTATACACAAAGAGTGGGTTGTTCTTCTCCGATTGGCTAGCGCGCGGCTAGCCTTGACCAAGGCTATCAGTTGTTCCCATATGCGCTTGTTCCCGCTACCGCACACCGCGCGCACAGCAACACAATGTTGTACTACATGTATATACCGTTAGCCCCAACGACCCTTGCGTGTGCTTTGTGTGCATGTACGTACGCCCCACACTCATTTCCGCGAACAGCCGTACAGTAAATCGAGGCAGAAGATAGCCTTGACGCAACCGTGTATGCTGAATATGATAATTAGTACGCGCTATGGTAAAAAGTCTTCTCTCATTGGATAACGTTTGACAAAAAAATGAATATTTATTAAATTGCATAATGCGACCAAAGGTTTATAAACCAGACGGCCTGCGGTAACAAAAATTATTGTAAAACACCCCCTTAAAATCTTAAATAATAGTAGAATAATATTTATAAAGTTACACATATTTGGGTCGAAAATGAAATGAAAAAGGATGAAAAATTAGACCTTAAAAAAACGGCAAACGGTACAAAACCGCACGCCGGCAAAAACGATGTCACCATGCACAGAGGCCACGTTGGGGCCGTCCACTGTAAGCACCGGCCCGGCTGGCGCCATGCAGTGAGACACGCTGCGCTTTCACGTTCAGCGGCCAAAAAAACGCTCACACTGCTGAGTATATCTACCGCTGACTTGGGGGGGGGGGTATTTCTTCTAAGCTGTCAAAGGGATATGGGAAAAAATATCTCTCCTTCAGGCAGGGTAAGCCTTAAGGATTTTTTTTTGTATAAAACTATGCAAATTTTGATTTGCATAGCAGTTTACCAATTTTGCATAGCAGTTTTGCTATACAAAAAAAAAATCCTGAAGGCTTACCAGCAAACTTATTCTGTAAGACTGATTGTAACTTGTATGAACAACTTATAAGTTATATGTCGTATGTACGACTAATATATCGACAGGGTACGACATATTTCGACAGGGAACGACTAATATCATCGACAGGGTACGACATATATGTCGACAGGGTATGACATATCAAACTTATGACATAATGTCGACAGGTGTACGACATATATGTCGTGCATAAGTCGAGTCGACAGGGTACGATATATGTCGCATACGACAAAGTCATATATATAAGTACGACTTAATATCTCGTGTGTACAAAATATGAATTTGTAACTCGTATGTTCGACTTGTTTGTCGGCTGTCGGAATGGTTTTTTTTATTTATATTATGTAACTTGCCCGACTGAGAATATAGCCCGATTGCACTGAACTAATTCAAGTGAGAATTTCTACGCAAGTCATTAGCATAAAAAGTGCCCCCCCCCCCACAATTTCTTTTGAAAACGAAGACCGTTTGGCTATAAAAACGGTGGAATTGTGTAAATATACCCAAGGATCAACTCCCTGGTTTTTGGGCTTCCATCTGAGGGCAGGCTTGATAAAATCACGGGTGAAAAATGGGTCCTATAGTATTTGCCTGTGAAAGTGGAAGGATGCCACTTGTAAAATGGCTACATGCAGGCTTGGGAACCGTGACTATAACTTTTCGCCGCGGGAGGTGATTTTATTTGGGTGTAAATATTTTAAAATGTAATTGGCTAATCGACCTAAAATTGAAAAGAAATGAAAAGATGAAAGACAAGACAATCATTTAATTTTTGTTTGAGAGACCCCAGTGATGTTGGCTTGCATGTTATTTGGCCCTGAACTTCAACTTTGTTGATTTTACACTGTTTTCAATGGGGCTTGAATTAGTGCAGTGGACCCCGGAGTGGGTGTGCACGTTAAGTGCATCAGGGATCTTCCACACCAGGATAAACGACGGCCGGAGTGCATCGTGAGTGCATGTGATCGGAAGAAAAACGCCGCAAGCTTCATGGGCGGCTTAGAAAATCAAACCTTAACATTTTATCATCTATATGCAATATGACAATATAAAGACATTTCATGTTTTAGTTGATGTTTCAAAAGGAAAGACACGAGAAGTGGGGTGCACATTCCAAGATCGGAACCTGACTTTGGATGTGATGGGGAGGGGGAGACTTTGGGTAGTTCCCTGGTTAAAGTTGTCCATCAAAGCAAGTCTCGGTTTGTTCGTTTGCTTTTAATTGTTTCGGCTTTTTAATTAATATTTTTTAATTGTTTTGTTTAATTTGAATTGAGACATCGAAGAAGAAAAAATCCAGTGCACCAACGTTATACACAAAGAGTGGGTTGTTCTTCTCCGATTGGCTAGCGCGCGGCTTGCATATAATCTGCATGTCAGGACATATCAGATGTTATACAGGAGTTGGCTCCGTGGATAATGGGTGATACTCAGACTACCGATCACCGTCGGTCCGATAATGATCAGATGTAATATCTTTGTTTTGTGTTATATCGGCTCTAGCCCAATAATCAGGTGGCATACGGTCGGAATCGGACCGACTGGTCCAAAGCACCAAAATTGACAAATAGATTCTTATAGCCCTAAAGAAGATATTTAGAAGGGGCGACACCTGAATTTCTTTTGGGAAGGGTGCCTAATTTGCATAAAGCGTTAATCCCTGCCGTGTAATATATTCCCATAATTGGGTAGGTGTTTATTTTTTTATTTTCTTGAAAAGTATATTTTGGGGATTTACTTACATATCCTTACTTAAAAAAAAACATTTTCTAAAGCATATCGGAGACTTGAAGTACGGAAGCGTAGAAGGGCCAATAAAATTAAGACAAATTTAGTTCGTATCTCGCCGCGGTGAGATAGGAACTAATTTTTTCTTAATTTCTTTTGGCCCTTCTACGCTTCCGTATTGAAGATTATGAGGACATAATAAAGATCCAAAATGGCTACCATTATACCATAAAGTTGCGCGCATTGCCTTTTTCCTCAGATATCATCACGTAGTCTTACCAAACCTCAGTATTGATGAGCTTCAAATTCACAAAGTTACTTACTGGCAGAGTTACCCTAACCAATATAAATGGGAAATCATGTGAAAAATTATACCACCTTGATAATTAGCCCACAAAAACAAAAATGGGGGTAAAATGAGGTGTCCGTAAATTGGGCTAACAATTAGGCGAAGGGTTGCCTAACACGGGAACTTGATCAAGTTCAAGGATGAATCCCCCAAAATAAGAGTTATTGGTTTTTTTAAATAATGATGTCTACGTCCAAACGTTTTTGGGAATTTCCTTGAACTCGTTTAAGTCATCACGTTAGGTAACCCCTTATCTACTTTTAAGCCCAATTTACGGACACCTGGTTTTTCCCCTTTTTTGTTTTCTGGGCTACATATCACAATGTTATCATTGTTTTCACACGATTTTCCATGAAGTTTTTATCGTTTAACTGTGCCAGTAAGCAACTTGGTGAATTTGAAGCTCATCAATACTAAGGTTTGGCAAGAATACTTGATGATATCTGGAAACAAGGTTAATGCACGCAACTTTAGGGGTGCACGCCTGTAACTAGGCCAAAAATCTGTCCGCCGAGCTCATGAATAAAAGTTATACCCTCAAAATATTCAATATTAGAGAGTTCTGAGAACCATGGAATTGGGGAATTGAAGACATGTGGCACTGAACCTCTGGCCTGGACTTGGAGCTTCCAATGGATGCATTTTGGATGCAATCGGGCCCGAAAGTGGCGCTATTTAGCCATGTTGTGGAGGGATTCTTTTTCAAAATGGCTACTTTTCCAGTTTGGGAAACATCATTCGTTTTAGGGGTGTTCTTCTTTGGGTGAGAATATCTCAAAAAGTCAATGGTCAACCCACCCAAAATTGAAAAGAAAATGAAAGATGACATGTTGATCATCATTTTTCTGTGCAGCTTGAATACCTGTGAGAGTTGAGTATTTTTAAATGAGTTTTGAAGTATGGGCATTTAGCACTAGTGTCTATGGGAATTTTATTGCAGGCGCGCACCCTTGGGGTATAATAGTAGCCATTTTGGATCGTTACTATGTCCTCATATCATAATTATCCAGTCTTAAATGCTTTAGAAAATGTTATTGAAGTAAGGATGTGTGAGTAGCATCACCAAAATACACTTTTCAAAAACAAATAAAAAAATAAAACCATACCCAAATGTAAGGAATAAATATATTACATGGCAGGGATTAACGATTTATTCAAATTAAGCACCCTTTTCAAAAGAATTCTGGTGTCTAGGTAAATATCTTACAATCTATCTACCAAGTTTGGTGCTTTGGACCAGTCGGTCACGATCTTGTCAAAAATTGGCTCTAAGCCACCTGACTACAAGATAAGAGCTGAAAGCTCCAAAATAGAAAAAAATACCCGGCGAAAACGACGGTCCGTCCGCTATCTTGTTCATGGTTGAAATAAATTTAAATTCCGTAACAGTGACAAAAGCATTGCCCTCGGTTAAAGCGCCCCTTGATATATCGGGCATTTGTCGTGTAAACAGGTTGTGCCGGGTTCGTACTTGGACGCGGTACTCAATCCGTCCACAACCACTTACATAACTCGTGATATGTCTGTGTATATGGAGATCAATGGTGATAAACATGTGAGTTGCATAAAGTCACGTTGCAGGCGACATGGTGTCTGTGTATATATGAATGGTGATAACATATGAGTTGCATAAAGTCACGTTGCAGGCGACATGGTACGGAGGCCGCCATTATCCATACGATCTTAAAATATATTTTAGACAAGTAATCTCTAGGTTAGGGATGGAATCCTCTAAATTTATTTCTAATACCGTTTATTTTATTTTTAGGGTAGATTTTAATCCTTGAAGACCTTGAGTACTAGTAAGGGACACTATATTTGTCACTTCCTATCAATACCATCACCCGGACTGAACCCTTCGGTGTATTGACGAGGCCTTCGTGGCGCAAAGTTTTAACCAAACTGAAGACGAAGCCAAGGTTTCGAATAATTTGGCTACGGCTGGAAATAACACACGGATCTATGGGAAGTGGCTGCAGCCGCTTCCATAGTCGCGTGTGTAGTGTTTTACGTCCACCTCGTTACCGGTGACTGATCCCGTAATTTTGGATGTGTATTTGGTACCTTAAGGGCTATCAGCCCTGGGATCAAGGAAGCGGATTCGTCTCCTTACAGTCAGGTACCCCTGATATTATTGATAACTTTCGTACTTGATAATGCTTATGCGAGCCTGGGAACACTCTAGCGCTATTTTGTGTATTTCGCCCATTTCGTTCCCATCCTTTAACGTGTACGCCAAGTCCTATAACGTTGTGAAGAGGAATTGCAACTTTTTCTCAGATATTCCGCCAACAATGGATGCTGATGGCTTGCCTCTAGTTGGTCCAGGGGTTGATCTAACAAAGGTAGGTTTTTTTTTGTCGGGGCCTAACTTATTTATCGGTAAAGACGATATATTACAATACTGCCACTGGGGCACTGGGATCATTAGATTAAATTTTTAAAAACGTTAGAGGGCGCTGTTCATTTGATGACAATTTTCTTTGGCAAATTGTGATAACAATTTTGCGGTAATCCTTACCTTTTTAGGACCCCAATCCAATATAAGGTTAAAATAAAAGACTCGCCAAAAACAGCTGACTAAATAAATGACACTCAAAACTGACAAAAGTGGCATTCTAATATTTCTTGACACATTTGAACAGTTGGCAATGGCACCACCTTGAATATTATTACTAGTAGTATAGCCCCATAAATGTGGCCAATTTATTGGACTACCTCCGTAAATAAAGGCCACACTTCCACCATGTACAAAAACATGTCGAACTTTGTCAAATTTTGATTTTCACATTTAGGCTTAGTTTGTAACTTTTTTTTGCTTTAGATTTTAGAAGCATACTCACCCTCTTTATAGGCTATTCAGAAAGTGCTGCCTTTTTCAGATGTCTAATTTTCGTGAAATTTCATGTTGAAATTTTGATACGCAAATGCGTGCAAACGAAAATTCAAATTGGAAATTTCACGAAAAATAGACATCTGAAAAAGGCAGCACTTTCTGATTAGCCTATAAAGAGGGTGAGTATGCCTCTAAAGCAAAAATAAACTACATACTAAAGCCTTAATGTGAAAATCAAAATTTGACAAAGTTCGACATGTTTTTGTACATGGTGGAAGTGTGGCCTTTATTTACGGAGGTAGTCCAGTAAATTGGCCACCTTTATGGGGCTACTTGAATATCAGCAGGTTTAATTTTGTGGAAAGAGGGCATGTAGCTGCTTTGGTTTATGAGGGGTACTAGTAAAGGAGGACGATGACAAACAGAAAATATATGAATAAAGACAAAGTTTGAGAATGTGTGACTTTTAAAAGCATTTTATTTTTAATTTTAGCCTATCGTCAGACCTCTTTAGCTACGTGCTCCTATTTCTACGCACTCGTGTTTAACTTATATTTTGCAACGCGTGCATCCTAAAAATGACGTACTTTCACTCGGATCGTATCCTTTGATGCACAAACTTTAACCAGCAGCCGAAAAAATGTGGAAGGTGAAGCCTGCTGAAGGTTTTACTGGGATTTCAGGCAAAGAATGAAAAAAAATCTGCTTTTTACAGTTAATTACCGAGTACAAATGCAGGCTGATGCTTCTGGGCCTGCAGAAGTTGAAATAATGACCGTACAGTGACCTTTCTTCATGTTCTTGGTCTCCCGCTGTCATCAGTACTACAGTTCATACGTCATAGTTAATACCTTGCAGTTTCTACAGGGGTGTAAAACTTACGATGCAACCAAAAAGACACGTTTCTTATTATTTTGGATTTTTTTTGGTCAGAACTATTAAAACCTGACACCTTGACTGTTGTGGAATGGCAAGGGGGAAAGGAAATGACCGGTGGAGAGACTGGGCGTGGCGGAAAGCTGTGTATTTATTATCAAGTTCTTGTTGGCTTGGAAAGTACACAGTACATGTAGCTGTGAAAAGCCCTGGTAGCACCTTGGTAGGCCCTTGTTAAGCACTGAGTAGTGCCCATCATAAGCCCGTAAGCACGTTCTGAAGGGTAACAAGGAACAAATTAAACAATTAAATAAGTGCAAGAAACAGGATGTCGAATCGAAAACCTACATACATGCACATAGTATGTATATCACTAATATATACGGTGGTACATCGATGTTCGTTAAATGCGTGTATTTCCGACACTTTATGATTGAAGGATTTGAACCCGAATTAACAACTGAATAATCTCTCATTATAAGAATCAACCATCTAATTATTGGAATTATACTCTAAACAATCATAACCAGTTATTAGAAGGGAAAAAGATGCCCTCACCATCCTTATCCGGCCATGGTTTTTCCCCCAATTCGGCTTGTTGACGGTATACACGCTTTTGGATCTCGCCGCAAGGTGGCGCCCTTTTAAATTAGCGGTGGCGCTTTTCTCAACATTGATAGTTGTCTCTGTTGATTGGGATGATAAAAAAACCAATATAAAAGCGGGATCTACATTAAGTGGGTAAATTTGTATAAACGTGTTTGATGCTTGCCAATTTTAGCCATAAGTGTTCAACCTGTCATGCTTATAGTACATCTTCAAAACCACACCCTGAATATCTCAGCTCATGTGAATGTGTACTCACATTAATTACAGGGTGACCGTAAGGTCATGGCCAAATTCTGCTAATTGCACCTCAAAAATCTGTCAGATTTATCAAAAATCTGCCAAATTGCCCAGAATTACTCGAAATACACTATAAACACTTAAAATCACATGCAGATGTTGCAATGTTGCCTTAATTAAGGTTCAAATTACATTATGAATAAATATATGGTCACATAAAAATGTTGTGAAATTGCATAAATTTCAGGCAAAACGCGGTTACGTCACGACAAAGTCTCGCCTCAGTGAACGTCAGTGCCTAAACCAGGCGACCTGTTCTATTTTGCAAGGGTTTGTCTGAAAAGATTAACGCTTTTTAAAAGAAAAGTACCATTTTTGATGCTATGTTTTTCTGTCATATAACCATTTTTGCAAAATTCTGCCAGAAATCTGCCAACAAAATCCATTCTGCCAAATTTTCTGTCCAACTCGTTTTTTTAACCAAAAATCTGTCAAAGTTAGCCGAAAATCGTCTAAAATGGTCACCCTGATTAATTAGTAGGATCCTAACACCAACTACATGTATGTGTCAAAGCCTATGGTGCTAAAAAGGTTAATATGGTGAATTTATTGCAATTCTTTTTACTTGGACATGTTCTTTATTTTCTTTCTCATAAAGGTTGGAGCAATTCATCCCAAGCGAATGTTGGCCTTTCTGAACCACTTTGTCACCCACACAACCAGATTCCTCAATAAGTTTTCATGCGTCTGTGAGCAGGTAAACCTGTCTTTTAACTTCTAAATCTATCCTAAAACGTCATACAGAACTTGGTTTGCTCAATTTTGAAAAGACAACACAAAACATAACTTTGACAACAAGAATAGCAAGGTACGTTTGCGGTGGCACCAGGTGAAATTAATTTCTTTTGTGAAAATGTGATGTTTCTGAGAAGTTAAAACCGGTTCATCTCAGAACCATCACATACTCACAAAAGAGATTAATTTCACATGGTGCCACCACAAAGTTACATTGCTGTTATCCTCACCATGCAAACTTTCCACTCTTAATGAGAATAGCTAAAAAACATGTATACTAGGTTTAAATGCAGGGCTCAATTTTGTTACTAACCTTGTAGGCAATACTTTAAAACTGTGTACTTAGGGCTGATAAACTGTAAAGTTGCTTGGAGTACCAGCAGTTTAAAAACAACAAACATGATGATATTGGGGTCATTTAAGGAAAATATTTTATTGCAAAGCCTGGTTCAGTAAATTTAAACTCACTGTATCACAAGCAGTTTTTTTCCAATAACATTTTACATAGACTTTCAAATGCTTTTTAATTAAAATCTTTCACTCTTAATTTTTTTTTTATATCAATCTGGAAGTACTAGCACTGATAAATACACTGTAACTGTACTTGATTATGCAATTAACAAAGAAAGCAGTATCTCTCACTCTTAAATTTATTTTTATAGCAATCCGGTCATCCTGGCAACTAATTTTTTTTTTTTGGTCCAGAAAAGTAACTTTTCATTCCTTTGTTTTTTGTGTTTGCCACAGAAACTGTCAGACTTGAATACAAGAATACAAAAGTTAGAGGTGACGATGAACATCCTTGAAGCTAAGGTGAGTGCATGGGCGTCGCTAGACTAAATGAAACGGGGTCGTGAACCAAAGCGCTGATGGACCAAATTATGCTGGAAGGTGGGGGAAGGGACTTGACACACTCTGACTAAAAGCGGAGCGATTGGTCACTATGAGACAAAAGGTGTCGCAATTCGTTGTGGATATATATGCAGACAGACACACAATTCTGCTGCCAGGACAACACGTTTGCCAATAATAAAAAAAAGAACAGTGGTGGGTGAACTCTAATGCATTTTCATGCACTCTTTAATTTACTTGGCCGGTGAGTCAAAGCATCGGCTGGGGTGAATTGGCATGTCCAACTGCCGAGCAGAGCGGTTTAAAGCCGTTTTTCAATGACTTCCAGTAAAAGATTGTTACCAGCCCTTCATTACTTGATTGTGTGATTATGTACATGTGTCCCTTGATTTTGTGATTAATGTATTGCTTTCTTAACCCTAACCGCCCTGAATCCTTCAAAATCCTCTTTGCCAAAGTGGAGGAATTTGGAGGATTGAGGTTACATGGCAAAAGTGCATTACGGATTTCGTAGGATGCATTTTGTCAAGGTCTTGGGCTGGACCTTGTGTTGTTTGTTGTTGCTCAGCCATGCATAAATGTAGGCCTGGATTATGCTTGAAATCCTCCGTACTGCTCCAGGATGTCACTAGCCAAGCCTCAACATATTGACAGTCACTGCCGCAGAATTTTTGCAGGATTCAGGCAGTGGTCACCCCTCCACGGACCACATTCAAGAAATAATGGAGGAATTTGCAAGATTGAGGCTATATGCTATTTTTCCATGAGGCCAATTGGAGGATTTTGCAGGATTGAGGCTACATCCTAGCAAAAAGGCCTAGGGAGTTAGGGTTAATTAATGCTTTCTGTTCTTGTAAATAGACCATTGTTATGTTGCTTCAGAATTTAGCCACCCCCAAACAAAACTTTTTATGCCTGTGGCCTTGCAAGAAGATAGAGGGCGCTGTTCTGGTGGCCTCATTGACATACATGTATCAATTACAGTCAATGTGTGTAGAGAGAATAAAACTGGTCCCTAAAAAGTCTTGTTTTTCATCTCACAGCTCCGTAACTGGTATCAAGATAATTTGCTTAATCTCTATCTCTCTCTTGACAGCTAGCATCCATACCTGGTCTGGAGGGTGTGACTGTTGAGGTGCCCCCAGCCCCTGGACCAACTCCAGAGTCTCAACCTGCTGCAGCAGCCAACTTGCCAGCCTTGCCTCCGTCGGAAGAGCAGGTAAAAACATCAATGAAACCGCCATCCATTATCACCCAAATGATGTAAAAATGTTACTTAAAATGAAAAGTATTTAAAACATTTAAGAAAATAAATCAGTTAAAGTTGGTGATATGAAAATGGCACGTTATGTCTTCATCCATATATTTTGCTGTCTAAAATCAAACAAAAGACAGAATATTTAGGGTATTAGGAGTTCAAATTTGTGGACAACGCATCTTGTGAGTGTGGACAAAATTTAATCATTTAAAACAAGCTCTCCAAAATATAATTACTGAACAAACATGCAGCTGTAGCTGTCAGGTCAGGGAACCAGACTAGCTGGCTTGCACCTGTTCAAGGATGTGAAACCAACTACAAACAACATGGACTAACTAACTTTGGTAAATTGGGTGCAGCATTTGAAAAAAAGTCAGGTTTTTTTTCCAACAATGGTTGGCCGACCATCGTTACAAATTGATACAAAAATGTCACTTTTCTCGAAAATGGCAGCACACCAGGTGCCATCATTTCATAGGATGCTTGAGTCTGTTAGTCACTTACAGTCAAGTAAAATATTTCATAGTAATTTGGTAGATTTTTTTTTTGATGTTTGCAAATGTTGTTTATTATCTGGAAAGTTTCTAAAATTACTCCATGATTTTGTATTGTAACAGGATCTTCCAGCAGTGGAGGCTGCACCAGAGGCTCCGCCCACAATGACCGTGTCCCAGGACCCACGCTATCTGAAGTATTTCAAGATGATCAATATGGTGAGTTGACTTTCAAAATCCAAACGGGTTGCCAAACTTCATCATTAAACCTGTAGTGATTTGGCACTGTGCCAGCATAGGGTTTGACAACCCCTGGATTCTTATCCAGTTTGTCTTTGTCTTCGGCCTCAGATTAAAAAAAAATCCCGCTATGTTCAACCAATTGAAAAGACACCAACCGTGGGTCTTGTGAGACAGAATTTGGTGTCTCTATAGCAGAACTTGATCAATATTTTATTGGAGTCAAGGCATTAAAATCATGAGAACTTGGAAACGAAAAGGGGCATTTGAAGGCAGCAAAAATCATGCTGCTCTTATTTACTAGACTAATGGGAAAGTATTAGAAATTTCATATCATTTTCTTTATAACTTTCTTTTCTATAAAACAAAACTAAACAAGGCAAGCAAAGTAAAGCTGGTCCCAGAGTGCACAAAATTGTATTCAGTTCGGGCGATTCCCAATGCAGTGCGCCACCATGAGTTTGCCATGGAGAGTCCATTTTTTAAGTTGACCGTCGACAAGACATGGCCCATTTGAATGCGTGTCTGTCGACGACTTGAGCTAATATGTTATAGATTTGGGCATAGCGTTCTACCGCCTTACAAAAAAACACCTTGTTGATAAAAAGAAAAGAAAAGGGCAAACAGATCCTCAAATCACACATTTACGAACCTACTGATGGGAAAAACTAACAATTTCAAATGTCCCACGTTGCGAATTTGTCGACCATCTCCCACAATGCACTTGGAAAAATTAGCTCTTCATGGCAAACTCTTGGTGGCGCACTGCATTGTAAATCATCTAAATTGATTCAGAATGGCTGTTTACTGGGAGTCTTTTCATGCATCTGGTCTACACAATGGGCCAGATTTAACCCATCCATTGGTATTACAGGGGTGAACCTATAAGATAGCACTGCCCAGCACTCTTCACCAGTCATTCATTTAATCAGCCAGTCAGTCAAATAGCTACAAAGAGGACACAAGGCAGTCGTTCTGGGACCAGCTAAATATTTTACAGGAAACAAGAAATCTTTGTTTCTGTTTTCGTATAAGAAGCTAAATGTCCAATTTATTTTGGGTTTAATTCAGGGTGTACCTGTAGGTGCACTGAGACAGAAACTCCTACTGGACGGACTTAACCCCGACTTGCTTGAGTAAGTTAAACTATTTTGTTTTTCTTTTAATGGTTGCTTTCAAAACAAAACAAATGCACATAGTGTAGAATATTGCATTCAGTGGTATTCTTGTCCCCTATCTGTGTCGTGTGTGATATAAATGTCATCAACTAGTCCATCTAGAAAATCACATCTAGAAAATTTACAAGTCCAGTCACTACTAACAGGGGACAATCAATAACAAAAGATTGCTTTTGTCGCAGCTTAGTCTGATAGTTAACCCTAACCCCCAAGGCCCTTTTGGCTACGAACCATCCTCAATCCTGCCAAATCCTCCTCCCAACTACTACCATGTAAAAATTGGAATCAGCCTCAGTCCTCCAAAATCGTCCGTTATTGCTTGAGTTTGTTCAGTGGAGGGGTGCCCATTGCCTCAGTCCTTCAAAATCCTCCAACAGTCTCTGTTAATGGGTTGAGGCAGTGCCGATGACATTCAGAAGCAGTGCGGATGATGTCGAGCATAATGCAGGACTAAATTATGTATGGCTGAACATAAACTTGACGCAATGCATCCTCTAAAAATCAACCGGCACTGTTTTTGCCGTTCAGCTTCAATCCTCCAAAAACACCCGGAGGATTTTTGAGGATTGGGGAGGGTAAGGGTTAACCACTTTCCTTGAGTCGGGATGACTTGGGATGGACTCTGAGAAGACTAGCGAACAGTCAACAATCGTTTGCTTTTGTACAAGTCAATCATTTCAAATTTCTTAGAAATCTGAAGGATTTTTTAATCACTGGGAACATAAACAAGGCTGTAATCTGAGTAATGTTAATGTGGCTCGTCTAATATGAAAACAAATTCTCACAAGAAAGCTTCGATCTGAGCAATTGAATTTGAATTGGGTTCATTCTTTAGGAGATCCAGAATAATTTTTAATAGGGGCCATGAAGACAGTAAAGCTTACTTGGGTTAGGGGAGGGGGAGATTGGCTGGACCTTATGTGGTGCTAGGGGTGCTGTTTTCCCCCTATTTTCCCCTTTCTTTCTGTTAATATTTCCCAAATCTGTGGAGAGAAACGGGATAAGTAAACTACAGCATCGATTTCAGTCGTCTTGAATTTTACTCTGCTTTAATTCTCTATTGTTTATGCCATTATTCATTAGGGGGCATTAACCTTGTTGGTCCTGTTTTGTTTCCCCCCACCCACCCCCTCTTCTACCAGTGCGCTAATTATCTGTCATGTTCTGCCTCGTTTCAGTACTCCCAATGCTCCTGCACCCCCTGCTGTACAAGACGATTCCGACTCCGACTTCAGCGAGAGCAGCGAAGAACCAGAAGAGTTCAGTGACTAGACTGAAAATCCCCTCAGACGGTTAAATCACTCTCCATCCAAAGTAACCAAAACAAAAAAAATATGGGTTTTAATTCATGTCAAAGATTGTAATGCATTTTTAGTCAGTATCACATAAACTGGTCAACAGGTTTAACTGCCAATATATTTCAGTGGCTTTATCCTCTTTTTGTTATTGGTTTAGAAATGTGTTCCCTGTGCTCTACCACAAATTAATCTTTTTTTTCTATTAATAAATTTCAACAAAAAAACCTTCCTTTTTCCTTTTTTGGATATCAGCTGTGCTCTTTTCTCATGAGTGCCCTTTTTTTACGTCCCACATTTTATATTATCTATAAGCTTTTTTTTCGGGATGAAACTCGAAAATAGCATGGGGAACATAACTTTAAAAAACAAGCTTTTGGCTGAAATGTATGTTAAAAGTTCTCTCAAATGCAATCATATTATTTTCCCTTTTGTTACAGCTGTTTTATATTGACTGCCACATGTATGACTAACAAAATGTGACACTTGCCAACTATTTAATTTCTCCAGTTACTTTTTAAAATGAAATTTGTTGGCATTGGGAGTAAGAGATCCTTAATTTTGGACACCCACTCTACAAATGGTGATGATAACTAGTAGGTCAATTGTCAGTTTTTCAGAAGTTTGAATATCAACTTTTGTATGCTTTTTAACTTCTTTTCCTTCAAATTGTTCAAAAATAATGTTCTTTTTATCGGCGATTGCTTAAAGATAAGTAATAGGTAAAGCAGCATGATACACAAAAGGAGCCGAAAATGTAAAAAAAAATTAAAATAATAATTTTAAGAGAAACCAATTGTCATGAATTTGGAAATGCTGTAAACATATCTGTCATGAATTTGGAAATGCTGTAAACATATCTATCTGTTAACTGGTCTGCATGTGTATTGATGAGAAGCAAAAGCTGAGCCGTTACATTGGTAGCTTTTTGTTTGAGGTAAATTATATTATTTGTATTAATGGTAATAAAATTACAAAGGGAACTGAATACCTTGCTTCGCAAACATTAAGGTTGCCAGCTTTAATGCAATACATCATAATGTTCAATGTATATTGCTTATATGCTAATTTCGAATTAAACTCTCCAAGCAAACTCAATTGAAATGACCTCAAGAAAAGTTGCACTTGATTTCACATTATCATTCATCAAATCAAACAAAAATTTCCCCCAAAAATGTGATTCAAGTGAATTTACCATTTCCCACTACTATAAAGGTCCTATTATTTTGTTTTCTTCATTTGAGTTTAAAGCAAGTATAAAATACCTTAAATTTTATAATGACCTTTATATATACATGTATGTACATAGTAAAACAGATTGTTATATAGTATTATTGTAATCAAGAATAAAGAGTCATCATAATATGTATATCAAAAATTTGTGCTTTAACTATTTATTCTTATAAATGTAGTTTAGATTATTCGAGGGTGAATGGGAGCTTAGGTATTGAGAGAAATTTGCTTTCCTGTAATTTTTAGTAATGGATGGATTTTGGGGTTCATATTTTCGATAGCAAATATTGTTGTACTGACCTGTTTAATATTTTTTTGTTAAAAGATGCTGGGGTAAAAACAAAAAAAAGGTGGTTGTAGTCTGGTTCCCTGGCCATATTTCAGATGAAACGGAACAATTTATAGACATCAGCCTATTGTCAGGTCAGGGAACCAGACTAGCTGGCTTGCACCCATTCACGGATGTGTAACAAATTGCAAAACAAAAAGAAGACTTTTCTAACTATGGTAATTGGGGCATTATTTGTATAAAAACGTCCATTGTTTCTAATGATGGTTGGCCGACCATCTTTGGAAGTTAACTGATACAAAAATTCCACTTTTATTAAAAATGACAGCACACCAGGTGCCATGATTTCACAGGCCTGCATGAGACTATTATTCACTCATAGTCGAGCAACGTGTTTCACAATAATTTTTTTTTTATTGCATACCGTACTTGTATTATCTTTAAAACATGGATATTTGCAATTTGACAAAAATTGTAAAGTGTGTTCAAGATATTATTTCAAGACAGAGATTTTTTTTTTTTAATTTACATACAAAATAATTACATTGCCTTGGTTGGGATGGTTAACCCACCCCGTCCCCTGTCCCCTACCCCCACCCCCAGCCGCGGTATATTAAAGTGGTTGCTTGTCGGTTGTGCCGGTGACTGTGCCAGAGATCAAATCTACCCAGACCCTCTGCCACCCATAAGCCCGACTCCTTCCCTAAAAACCATTTTCTTTGAGCTTTAGGCCAGCGAAAAGATTACCGAGGGTGCAAACTCGCCCCCCCCCCCCCGCCCTTAACACCCCCACGTCGCTCAAAACTCACAGAAAAAGAACGCAGTACGGGTTTTAAATAGGGCGCCCTCTTTGTTTGGATTATCTTTTTTTATCTAACATCCGGGATATTTTATCACCACGCGCCATTTTAGCTTGTGCTAGCTAGCTGCAGTGTGTGTGTGCGGAGTCTGCGTTCTTTTTTCTCAAATTTTATCGAAAAGTCTCTGATTCTCTGGAATGGCTTCGGAGCCTAGGTCGGAGCTCTTTACGGTGGGTATAACAACAGTATTTTGACCATTTGGTTCGATTCCCGTCAAGGATTTTTAGTCACTCGTTTTTGTGTGTGTATTGTCCGGAATTTGGGCCCGTCCCGTTAAACGCATTAAAAAATGTGTGGGACTGGGAGCGCTGTTCATTTGGTGACCCTTTTTCTGAATGGAATAGGAAATTGTGATTAACATTTTGCGGTCCTACTAAAATGCGTCAACAAGCGTCAACAAGCATCAACAAATTTTGTATAAGTTCTGGAACATCAAAAACAAAAGACATTTTTTTATGGTAGAAATGTGACAAAAGACCCATTCAGCATATAGGCCTAAAATAAAGTTAAAATTATTTAAAACTTGGGGGTTTTTTTACAAAAAATGTACAACGAGTTTGTTGACTTTGGGGTGGCCGCCATTTTGTTTGCGTGAAGCTAGCCGTACTACCCATGCGTGAAGTGTACAGAGCCATAAAACGCATGTGCAAAGTGTACAGTGCCGTCCAAACAAGATGGCGGCCAACACTAATCGCCAAACTCGTACTTTTCGCATTCAAAGAACAAGTTTTTAAATCATTTTAACTTTATTTTATATACTGAATGTGTCCTTTGGCACTATTTCTAGTTTTCTACCATAAAAAAGTCTTTTGAATTTGATGTTCCAAAACTTATACAAAATTTGTTGACGACCGTTGTCGCTTGTAAGTTGTTGACACTTGTTGATGCTTGTTGACGCACATTTTGATATTTGGCACAACATACTGTCGATAAACAACTCCACGTCCAGATCGTATACCCAGCATGATATGGGGCCGCACACAGAGTTTGTTTATCGACAGCAGGTCAAGGTCATGTCCCCTGCTTCATTGATGCCCCATTAGGCCGAGTAAAAAAAAAAAAGGTAATCCTTACTTTTAGGACCCTGTTCGTGTTCCTACATAAGAAAGGAAAGACTCACCAAAACAGTTGACTAAATGACACTGAAAATTGACATTCTGATACTTCTTGGCACATCTGAACAATTGGCAATGACACCTTCTTGAATATCAGCAGGTTTAATTTTGTGGAAAGAGGGCAGGGCTTTGATTTATGAGGGAAATTCAGGGGTAAAAGACGACGATGACAACCAGAAAACAGACTCAAAAACCAAGATGGCAAACGTGAAAGCTCGATGCAATTAAAGCTCGATGCTGATTGGCTGATAAAAAATAAACATCTTATTTATTCTAGTCTGGTTCCCAGACCAAAAGATTCAGGAATAGTCAGAATATTTTGGTCTGAGAACCAGACGAACTTATTTATTTTTAGTCTGGTTCCCAGACCAAAAGATTCAGGAGTAGTCAGAATCTTTTGGTCTGGGAACCAGACTAATTAATTTTTTTGGCAGCCAATCAGCATCGGGCTTTCATTATGTAGGGCTTTCACGCGTGTGAGAACTACAACATGCACGTGTGACTGCGAAAAAAGGTATGAAAGTCACATTTTCTTCGAAAGTGCTTTCAAAACTACAACTAACAGGAGTTTATATGAAGAAAAAAGACTGCTTTAGCCTGCAAAAGTCACTTTGGTACTGGACAGTCATCTGCAAAAGTCAGTTTTGAACAGAACTTGTAAAAAATAGAGGTGTCCTAAAAGTAAGGATTACCAAAAAAAATAGTTTCTCGTCCGGGGTTTTTGAAAAAAGGGAGGAAGCGAGGCTTTTTATTTTTTATTTTTTTCAAGATGACCGCCTTTTCAAAATTTCCTGCAACCGTTGGTGTTCCACTGTTCAAAGACACTTTTAAAGATGAAAGACAAGTTGGACAAGAGAACTGAACATATTTACAGTGTCATTTAGAGTTGTATTGGTATTGGTATTTATTTTCCGATGAATTTGTAGACTTTTTCGGTGTTTTTCTACTACATTTTTCAAAAATAAAAAATAATAAAAAAATCCAGGCGGCCTCCAAAAAGGAAGGGGCGGGGACGAGAAACTTGGTTTTTTTTTTACTTTGCCTTACTTCGTCTTTGACATGTGGAGAAGTCAGTAGGTGCTTTTAAAGGTTTTTTGTCGAGTATTTTGCGTGATTTTTGGCAACTTTTGTGGTGAACTTTAGAAATTGCAACATTGAGAATTTTTCCTTAGTGGGACGCTCAAAAAAGGAGTTCTAGCGCCCCAGTTAGTGGGACTACATGTAGTCGTCTGCCATATGTTCATTGAAATAAGCATGAATAAAGACATAGGGCCTTTTCTGGAAAATGTGAGTTTTGAGCATTTCAATCGTAGGCCTACTATTTATTTCTGCACTTTTTATGCAAAATAATCAAACATACGCATTTGAGCGTCTAAAAAAATCCCTGTTTAAATTCATTTTTCCTTTAACCCTGCCATGCCCAGTGCAGTTGGCAGAGAATTATCAGACCTTTCAAAACATTTTAAATTTGCCTGACTAAAGGGTTTTGAAAGGTGAAATAGTGCTGGAACTTTGAAACTTTTCGAAAGGTTTCGGAAGGTGAAGCAACTCTGTGGGTAAATTCAGTAAGTTGCCTTTCAATACCTTTCGAAAGGAATTGAAAGGTGTGGTAGTGCAGTAACAATTAATTCTGGAGGATTTTAAAAGGTCCTGCATTTTTTGTCCTCCAATTTGCCAGAACTCAGATTTTGAGGTGTTTTGAATGGTCAAACCACAGGAGAGTTAATTTGCAGATTCCGACAAAATCCAAACTTGTAAAGTTGTATTAAAATTAGCTGAAGTTACGTTAGCCCTAGCTTGAGTAACTCCAGGTCCAATGCTCATCAGGAATTTGACATATAGAACTATGTTGTAGAAACTAGATTATAACTTGAGTCCCTAAAAAATGGGACTCTTTGTAGGCCTTTCAAAATGGTCCATTTTCCCTATATTATTCCAACTTAGATTCCCAATTGACATACCTCATCTCGATTGAAAGATAAATATTCAAAATCGCAAAGAAAAAATGGTCATTAGAATTAATAGAAGACTGTTTTGGGTTGCAGAAGTCATTTTGGAATGATGAATATAGTTGAGGACCAATAAGAAAGAGGGGCCCATAACTCAACAATTTGCCATTGTTTGAGCATTCACTGCTCTCACACATATTCATTGTGGCCACTATCGAGATCAAGGTCTGGGGCCATACTTCCACATTAGATGGAACATGTATAGACTGCAATAGTATTTAGAAATTCATCTTGCTACGCGTGTGAGTGTTGACATTGCTCAGATGCTGGATGTCTGGTTTTCAGAGTGAAGTGCTTTGAAACATTTCTTGCTGAAAGATGTTTTTCTGCATCTGAAAATCATTCATGTTCTCAGTTTTGCCAAATTTCAACAATGTCAGCGTGCAAGAGAACCGGCCAAAAGCTGCAAGTAGGCCTACATGTAGGTCAGGATCATTACTTGCACAAATCGGGCAAATTTGAGGAAATGTTTCCAAAGTAGGAGAATGATATTCACATCAAGTGGAGAAAAATTACAAAATCATAACATAGTCAGTATTTTTTAATATTTGATGTGTTTATCATCTTCAGGGCTGGGGATATATCCCTGAAAAGGTGAAGAAAGCACAGAAGAAAATTGAGATGTACAAGCATGACACGGAGGCATGGGGGATTCTACTCAGAGAAGCACAGGTGAGTCAAGATTATTTAAAGTAAAGTAAAAAAAAAAAGATTTAAAAAGGGGTGGAATTGTCAGTATTTATATTTATTTAGAGTATTTTAAGGCCCCCAAAAAAGTCTCCAATTTCTGGTATGCGCGCGCGTCGCCGTAGCCATGAGTGTTGGCAAAATGAAAACTTTTTTTTTTTTTTTCAATGTAAGAGGATGTCTCAAAACCGCCAAACTAACTGGTTTGACTAGAATCCTGCTACTGCACAATTTTAACGTGTTTTTGGATGGGGTTACGATCGAGTTTAAGCTTGATGTGGCCTCTCTGTGCTCCCATACATTTTGCACTAAATTTAGTTGGGCACCATTTGCAGTCATCACCCGACATTTGAAGAAAAACAAATTTAAAAAAAGAAGAAAAAGCTGCATCACTGCACCACTTTTGGGGCAAGCCCATACCAGAAACCGGAGACTTTTTGGGGGCGTAATCTGAGGATAGCTAAAAGCAATGGAAGTTTTGTTGACACTTTACAAGTAGAGCTCCATGACAAGCAGCAGGCCAATATAGTGGCTCAAAATAGCATCACTGGATAAATTGAGCAAAAATGCAGAAAGAAAAATGCAGTTTTTTCCCCAGTGAATGAGTCAAGGTCTGAAATGTGACATATTGAGTCCCTTATTCATACCCAGAGTGAGAGCAAATGCAAATATGATGTCGCATTATTTACAATACAGACTTGCAACAAATGTACAGATAGCAGCTCAGGGGAGAGTTTTGTCATATTCACTTTTTACTCGCATTTCTGTGTACATGTAGTATGAACCGGTCTTATTTGAGTTCATAGAATGGGGGCGGGAGAGGATAACGGCTTGGTCAGTGACATCCTGGAGCAGTACAGAGGATTTCAAGCATAATCCAGCCCCTTAAATTATGCATGGCTGAGCAAAAACAACACAAGGTCCGGATTCAGGGCGGTTAGGGTTAATACCTGCCAATCACATATTTATTCCCATTCATAAATACTTTTCAGTCAAAAGTAGTAAAAGAATTCACAGATTTCCAACGATTTGGTTCCACAATGTAACTTCATGTTTTGTGAAACATCCCTCAGGCCATGTCTATGGTACATGTATCTGCCTCGCGCGCATAGTGCTAGAAATCTCCTTTTTTAATACAGTCGACTCTCGTTATAACAAGGTTGATGGGACTAGCCAAATTACCTCTTTATAACAGGAATGTTGTTATAAAAGGACAGTGAAACAAAGAAACACAAAGAGAACCTGAGATTTGGGACCTCAGAATTTGCTCTTTATAAGCAGAACCTCTTTATAAAAGTGCTCTTTATAATGAGAGTCGAAAATATAGAATTTGGCGCGTACTGCGCGATGTGGCGCAGAATGCAGCGGTGTTTTACCAGCAGGTTAAAACCACCCACGTGACAGGTTCTTGATTGATAAGAATGGGTAAATTGTCTCAGGTATTTATGAACCGGTCTTTAAGACTGCTGTCCAACTATCCAGTATCCTGCTATCCAGTGATTCAAAGTATGATTTAAACTCATTGTTTTTCCTTTGGAAATCCATTTCACAGAGCCAGCCAGTGGATAAAGCACGGCCTCTCTACGAACTCCTCATCTCCTCCTTCACCAATTCCGGACGCTACTGGAAGATGTACATTGAACAAGAGGTCATATCACAGTTTGTTATCTCTTTTATTTCTTCTTTTTCAATTCTTTCACATCACAGAACGTGACAGATTGTTTTTTATCAAATTTTCGTCAGATGTGCCGTTTTGGTTTTTTTTTTAATTGATGCATTTAGTTAACATATCTTTTGGTTTGAAATTAACAATGTTTGCTGTTACAGAGAATCTATCGATGCCAACCCCGAAAGTAAGTAGAGTTTATGAAACAAAAGTGTTCGGTCAGTAACTGATGGAGTAATTATTTCTATTTGGTTCATTTTTTACCAGAGTTAGGCGTGATAAAAGAGTAACATGTAGATCTGACAATTGCCAAAGACAGTCATTTTAAATTAAGTATTTGAAAGTGTAAGGATCTTTTTCACTTTTTTCCACATATTTTATTAGCATCTGGAGATAAGCATTTTCCTTGTTGATGATCGTGAAATCAAATGTGAAATTTGCACTGTGAAGTAGTGGTAAACTTCTTGCACGTACCTATCTTTATGACCAGGAGTATAATCAAACTTCATCAATTATTCTGGTATTGAAATGTCACAAACAGCAATTATGTCATGAAAATTTAATGTTGTGAACTATTCACATACAACGTACAATTGGGTTTGGACAAATAATTCATTTGATGAAACTAAACTTTTCTTTGCAGCTTTGTAGAATCAAAAGTTCAGTGACATTTGTCAGTCAGGATTGTGATCTCAAATAGTACATTGAAGAAGACAGCAATTATATTTTTTTGTCTCATGAATTAATTTTTTGACTGACTCTGGTGTCCATTTCTTGCCTTGACTCTGTGTCAGTTCCTGACTCTTGGTGTGGAGTTATTTGCCTCGTGCCTCCAGTTTCTTGTGTCTTGTCTCATTCTTGCATGACCACCAATCAAAAATAGGGTTTTTTTTACATTATGTTTTGTAGAGAAATTCAGTAGATTACTACATATTTATCAGAGTGGCCCAATCATTGAAAGATGACAATTTAGGAATTTAGAAAAACCAAGGATATTTAAAGTTGACACATTCAGCAATACTAACATAAGTCTCAAGCACTTTTCTTAATGCAATAATTATGACCTCTGACCTTTTTTTTAATTTCGTTTTTTTTTCAATAAATTGTTTTTTATTGTGAAACATCAAAATAAAAAAAGTGACCATGCGGTATATTTTTAATTTGCGCAGCCTGTTTTCACACCCAAGGCCATATCAATACATTATGCACACATGTTAGGTCTATTAATACAACTGTGGTTGAGTCAAATATACATACAAAAACCCCGATATTTTATACATATACGTGTACTATGAACTTTTTTTCAACTTTTGTCATGTGCTGAAAGATGAAAGGCCATGCTGGGAAAATTCTTTTCACGTGTGTATGGGATCAACATTTTTTGTGGCAATCAATCAGCAAAATAAGTAAAAATTCCCTGATGATTTATGTTCCCTAATTAAGCGCCCTCCCCCTACATTTATCACAATCCTGTCATGAGGGCAGCAAATATTTTTTTTCTGATTTGGCCTCGAGTTGGCAGACAAAATTCATTCATATACACAGAAATGCTTGCATTCGACGCTTCAGCTACAGCGTTTTCCTAAGGGAATAAATGTGTGCTCGAGAGGTTTTTGTCACTCGTTTAATACCGCTTAGAGTCTGGGTGCTGATAATTACCCGAGCCGGAGGCGAGGGTAATTATCAGCACCCAGACTCTAAGCGGTATTAAACAGAGTGATAAATACCGACCGAGCACATATTTATTCCCATTCATAAATACCTTATCCGTAAAAAAAATCAAATAATTCGTTCAAAAAATCCCGATTTTGTTCAACAAGTTCACTTCATGCTTTTTGAAACATCCCTCTAGCAAAATAATGGAGTGTTCAGCTGGCGAGTAAGATGTAAACAACCCTTTTATGGAGATTGACGCGCGCGTAGCATGTTCTGCGCGATGTCACGCAGAACGCACCTGGGGCGTTGCGTTTTGAATTTAGAACTATAAAATTCTGACTCGCATGTAGTGTTGCGCATGCCTACGTGAGGATTGTGAACGTTCAACCAATGAAACGGTAAGAGGCACTGGATTTTTAGGAGTCCACATTTTATTGTGACACTGGAAAAGTGTTTAAGACCAGCTAGCCATGTCTTTATCATCCGTTTAAGACCAGCCACGTGACGGGCTCTCGACCAATAGGAATAGCTAAACTGTCTGAGGTATTTATGAATGATGGATAAATGTATATTTTATAATTTAATATAGGTTAATACAAAAAAATTCCCAGAGTGGTCGTTCCTCTCAAAGCATTTGTGAAAAACTAATATTTTTTGTCTGTTGACTGTTGCTTAGAGTGAATGGATGTGTAGAGTATAAACAGTCCTGGCTTGTAGATGCATGTATGTGTCAACAGTAGGTTGGGTCTAAGTTGTATTATTCCCAAAAAACTAATGAGAAAGTGCAGTTTAATGAACCTACCATATCCTTGAAAAGTCCCAAAGACTCAAGTTTTTGTTTCATTTTCTATAAAGCATACACTACATGCATCTACTAAATTATACTGAGTTGGAGCACATTAAAGTGAGCTTAACCAATGATTTTAAAACAAAGAGTGGGACTAGTTTTGAAGGTTGAAAATGAATCAAACTGCTGCAAACTGCTAACTGACTGGGTTGACCTGAAATATACAAATCACAAATTATCAGATGCCTGATATTTCAGCATTTATAGCGTGGCCACCTTCAGAGGCAAATAGTTTTGAAGGTTTTGAAAATCTTCATGCCATAAAAAATTGAACCAAAAGATGAATTCTTGGCATTGTTTGTGAAATTCAAAAAGACAGGATGTCATAGTTCCAAAATGTTATGTTCAGTGAAACTAGTAGAGGTCCAGTCCCACCATGTTGGCATCATCCATGAGACACTTGTTGAAGGTGTCAAGGTGAAGAGTTTTCAATAAAAAAAAAATAACTCCCTACTCCCGCTAGTGTTTGAAACTCAACAAAAAATAGAGTCGTCACAAATTCAACACGGAAAATCATTGGTTCTCTGAATTATGATGAATGTTAAGCTCATGCAGTATGAATTGCTCACCTGTGGTTTTCTGGCAAATGAGAAGAAACTGAATGAAGTAGAAATCAAGGAACGACAAATCAAATGAAAAAAAAATTGGTCTTAATGAGGCATCTCATGAGTTTCAAAAAAAAAAAATTCAACACTTCAAAGCTTTAGTTGTGGGCTTAAAAGCCTAGCACTAGTTTGCTGTTCAGACATTGGTTATAATTACAGTGAGATAACATCATTAACTAACCAGAGAGCGAGACAGAGAGAGAGTACGAAAGTGCAAGTGTGTTCTGTGTGGTTGCAATGGATTAGAAAGTACATGTAGGTACCAAAGATAAGATGTCCTGAAAAGCAAACACACAAAATGCAAAAAAAAAAATCTTTCCCACAATTGTTCACCTATGGCTGATTGTTCACAATTGTTACATGTGGTTGATTTACAAATAGGTATTTTTAGTCAAAGTCCAATAAATGGACAATGCCATGGTTGGTTGGTTTTCTCTTGTATGCTTGACAACAACTGATGACTGGTCTTTCATAATAGATACCAAGTAGAATTTTCGAAAAGCACACTTGACAAAATCGACATTTTAAAGTTGGTGATTTGAGTCCCCAGCGCAGTTGGCAAATGGAGGCGAGTTCATATTTAAGCATTTCTGTCCCTAGTGGATTGATAGTATGATCCAAATTTTTTGGTAGATAACAACCAAGACACATAGCATTCTTACCATGCATAATAAGAACATTTATGCATTCAGGTTTGCTTGAATTTGTAAAAAAAGGAGAGTGGAGCATTTTTTGGGGGACACACTGTACATACATACTCGCCAATAAATTGATAAATCAAGAAGCAAACAAAAACTAAACAGTAACCAAACATGTTCCTGAACAAGATTCTGTTATCACTTGTTGGATAAAAACATTAGTTTTATTATTAGTTCTCAAAGCGTTGGCACATTATTTTTTTGGGGGGGGGGTAATAGAGTCCAAGAGAAAAGTGTTTTAAGGATTTTTTTTTTTTTTTTCAGATGTGTTCTTGCTTGGAACACATTCTTTTATATTGTTACTATTAACAATATGAAGCACATTAGCACATGAACAAAATAAAGAACAAAGTTGTGTTCATGATCATGCTTCATCTGCTTTTGTTGGTTATTTTGCAAAAGGCACTTGTTAACAGGCGTTTGTGCTTTAATTGCTGAGATAATTCACGTAGATTTACTAGTGTGACATTTGCATTTGAAAAGGGAAGTTATTTGAACATGACTAAGATAGGGAACTTTGGAGAAATATGTATTGAAATTGTTTGATATTGTATTCATTATCTGTTGCTCAGAAAAGTAAGGACACATTTCATATGTTGAAGATATTTGGCACAAGTTTGCAAAACTAAAAGCAACTGAAACAGACTCTTCTGCATAAAGATTAATATTCTTCAGTAACTTATGATGATTATTTACTAACTCCAAGTAAATCATGTTTACTTTTTCCTCCCACAGATTGTGTTGATTGCCTTAATGTACTGTTTTTCAATGAAATCCATATTTTCACATATTAAAACGGTTTCAAAAGGAATCTTTGTCTCAAATAGGTGTTGTTATTTTTGACTTGTGTGTAAACGTCGAGGGTGATTCATTGTGCATAATTCATTCAAGGGGCATTATCAGCAGAGTCCAAAGCCACGTCCGAATTACATACTTGGCTGTGGCTTGGCTGTAGCCACCTCCATAGACACGTGTGTTGTGCCAGCCGTAGCCAAGTCATTTAGATGTGGCTTATGGCTGTGTCGATCCGAATAGGGGATTTTTGGGCGGCTGCTTAAATTTTTAACATTTGTGAACATTTAGGAAAATGGCTGTACCATGGAGAGATTCGTCCATTTTGGGCGCAGCCCAGTATTAACTTCCACCAATAATAAACCAAACTAGATTTTGTCCATGCACAGAGAGTAACTCTGGGGGTAAAGATGAAAGTGTTTACCAGGCATGCAACTTTCCCTCGGATCAGCTGATTTCCTCTTTTTTGACCTCCCATGTGTGTCATTGAAAATAGAAAACACTACAAAGTCTTGGAAAGATTCGAATTTCCTCTTTTTTTGTGACTTACCAGTTGCATGCCTGGTTTACTCATTCCATAAAGTTCCTTTCCCATACTGTTTTCAAGTGTCATTGTAAATTTTATTTTTAATTGCTTTTTTGTTCACTTTTTGAAGGGACACTGCCCGCAAGTAGTTTAGGAATAATTACTTTCCAAATTTTGAATCACAGCCACCCGACAATAATGTCTGGTCTTGGGTGATAGTTTCGCAAAGGCAACCATAAGGCCAAACAAAAAAAGTCTGCGGTTTCTAGTATGCACACGTGTCGCTGTAGCCATGTGCGTCAGCAAATTTGTTTTTTTTTTAATTCAATGTAAGATGATGTCTCAAAACTGCCAAACTCACTGGTTTGACTGGAATCCTGCTGCTGCACAATTTTGACGTGTACTTTTTAGATGGGGTTACGATCAAGTATAAGCTTTATGTGGCCTCTCTTGGCTCCCATATATTTTGCACTGAATTTAGTCGGGCACCATTTGCAGTCATCAGCCGACATTTGAAGAGAAAAAAAAGTAAGAAAATTTTTTTTAAAGCCGCGTAGCCGCACCACTTTTTGGCCAAGCTCCATACCGGAAACCGAAGACTTTTTTTTTTGGCCTAAATGAAAACTTTACTTTTTGGAGGGTTGCAGATGCCCAAATAAAAAAACATGAATTGTTTGTTAGAGACAATAATATGGTACAATTTCAAGACCTAAAGAAGGGGTTGCTGAATTGTGAGTAATAATTTAGAAATGGTATGGTGTGGAAAGTTTGCCCTTGAATCTTAGACTCCTCTATAGACCTTCAGAAACATTTGTACTTGTGTCAAGGAAATAACACCCAGTCTGCGCCAAACCGAATTAGGCGAGTTTAATAATAAAGCTTGTCATTAAACTGTAATTCTGTTCTGCCCAACTTTGATTTATATAGAAAAATGACAGTTTTTGCTGACCTTAAATTCTCGACAATGGCAATATTTCCGTTCTGATATTTCTCAAAATAGGGCCTAAAAATGTGGAAACTCTCAATTTAACAATTAAGCTGAAGCATTTGCAACTTCAGTTTTGAAAAAAAAATGTTTCTTTTAAAGACTCATTGTCAGGAAAATTAATTTCACAAATGCAGTCTCTGATTCATGAATATTAATTTTAGCAAGCGTGTTATATATACACGCTGCAAATAAACAAAGGCACTTTTCTGTACACTGCTCACTGACTGTACATGCACAAGCTGTCGAAAGATCAATTTTTGCAGTCATTTAGTTGACTTAAAGGGAAAATACAACATTTGCAAACATCAAAAAATAAAACTACCAAATCATTTTGAAATACCTTGCTGGACTGTTAGTGAATGACAGTCTAAAGCATCCTGTAAAATCATGGCACCTGGTATACTGTCATTTTCAAGAAAAGTGGTATTTTTGTATGAATTTCCAACGCTGATTGGCCGATCAGCGTTGGAAAAAACTGGCTTTTTTTCAAATACTGGCCCCAGTTGACCATCGCACTTGTTTGCAATCGATTACACACCTATGAACGGGTACAAGCCAGCTAGACTGGTTCCCTGACCTTACAATTCCCCAATATATTCTTGGTTTTTATAGCATTTTCGAACCCAAAACCTCAAAAAAGTAATTGTAACTATATTTGCTATATATTTCCAACCCCCCAATTCCATCCATTTCTGAAAATTACAGCAAAAGCAAATGATGTATATTCCCTTTAAAAGTCTGGCCAACGGAGCATTAACACAAGAAGTTCACCTTTCTGAAACCAAAATCTATTTGGGTCAAAACTGTTGACTTCTGGTTTGGCGCGACTGAAGTGTTTTTGTTTTGTTTTCTCTAGAATATTCAATGGCTTCATTTTTGTACATGTAGTTGGAAAATATATTATTTGATAGCTTATCCTGATATTGAGACATTTATTTGAATGCCACTTTAGCCTTGTTTTGTTTTTTTTTGGGGGGGGGGGTGTATTTTCATTTTCCATTTATTTTCTTGGGGGAGGAGGGTCGACACAAAACATTAACATGCAAGCATTTCAGTCCATTCCAAGTTATATTTGTGCCTCTTCCAATTTGAGTGGTGAGTCAAAAGCTTGGCCCCTTTTCTTGAAGGGGAAACCTATGTTTTCTGTTTTCAGTATTTACTCTTTATGAAAAAATACAGTACTTCCATCAGAAAAAGAGATAAATGAACATTTCAGGGGAGCTGATTTGCTTTCTTCATGGCATATTCTTTCCAAACTATTTTGGTTTGTTTATTTGTTTGTTAGTTTTCTAAGTCTGCCATGGCAAGTGTCTTTCGATTTTTTATTGGAAGTGCTGTACTTGAGCAGGGGAAACCATACAAAAGGGAAATTGAACAGATAAAAAAATTTGCCTGTGACTTATTCCTGGTTTTCATGAATCCTCAGTCATTTAAATCTGCCTTAACTTTAATATAGGAGCAGCAGCTGCAGCAGGGCGCAATTTCTTGGTGCTGCTAAGCACACAGTTTTCTGCTAACAGAGCCTCCATCTATTTCATGGAGATCGTAAGCAGTAAGCACGGCAAAATGCCAGAGGAAAATGTTGCTTAAGTCAGTGATGTAACAATAGAAATCTCCATGCACACGCAACGGCTAGCACATTCACGCCACAGTTTTCTGCTATAGTTAGCACAACTTTTCTGCTAACTGTTCAGCAGCGCAATGAAATCGGGCCATGGTTAAAGGCCATGTCACATTTTGGCAATGTGCTGTACTAGAAACTGGTTCCAAGAGGAAAACACTGGATAAACATATGTTCAGGAATTGCTGGAGGTTATTCCTGAGGGCACCTTTTCATACCGTATATTTCCTCCAACTTGCATGTGAAAAGTGCCTCCCACCTTTGCCCTTATTCGTAAGAATTAAACATGGCAAAGCACATTATCTGAGCTTACAGGGGCTTTACCTCTCGGGGAAACCACTTTCCACAAGCCCTGTGCGACTCGTATCCTGGACAGTTGTGCGAAAGCACTATCCTAAATTGACAATAAATAATCAGCCAATCAGTGAAGCGTTTTGGTATAATGTGCCTTTATTGGCTAAAGTAATGTGATCTGAAATGTTGAATAAGTATACTGCACTCTGATTGGCTGGAAGTTAAGAAATTGCATTAATATTCATGAGAGGGGGAATCTTTTTGTTTGCTTGCATATTATTATAAAGTTGTTAGGACCGTTCTGTATTTAGTGATAATTTCATTTGGTATACTGTATTTTTCTGCAAATTATCTAAAGTCATTTACTCTGAAAAAAAAAAGAATTTTGCGTGGAGCAGTCTTAAATTCATTGATAACTGAAACTGTAGGGCTGTACATCTTTATCTTCTACAGTACTGAAAGTTTCTTTTTAGATATTTTTTATTTTAAAGAAATTCTGTTTTTAATGGATTGCTTAAACCTCTAGGAATTAAGAAGATAATTTATGTTTGTTTATATTTAGTTTATCATTCGAGTCATCCCTGCTGGTGCTTGAGTCCAGAAAAAACAAATTAATTACTCTTTTTTGTACACGTAGTTGACGCAAAGAGGAACCCTGCGCATTTTCAATCAGCCAATTAGTCAAGCTCCCAATCTGAAATTGCTCCTTCTTGGAAAACTAAATAAATAAGGGACTGAGTATGTACTTGGCTGGTTTTAAACATTTAAACAAGTATATTTAAACTAGCTGGGGGCCTGGACGCGGATAGTGGCAGGGGCCAAATTTATTCCCATTCTTAAACACCTTCGGTCAAAAGTCAAAGCCAGTCAAAAATTCACAATTTGCCAACAGTTTTGTTGAAAAATGTTACCTCATGTTTTGTGAAACACCCCTCTGGTCATGTCTATGGTATGTGCCTGGTTCATAGTGCTCAAAGTCTCCTTTTATGGAGATTGGCGCGAGCTTGGCACGTACTGCACAATGTGGCGCAGAACGCAGCGGTGCAGGAATAAAGTGTTTAAGACTAGCCGGTGTTTTATCAACGGTTTAAAAAGACCCATGTGATGGGTTCTCGACCAATACGAATGGGTAAACTGTCTTGGGTATTTATGAATTGAAAATTAATACAGATCTGCATGTGTATGGCCTCTTTGCAATTCTTTCTCAAACGTTGGACTCCTGTAGATTTACTAATTGTAGGAAAGTAAAGCCCAGTCACTTTTACTTCACATAGGGATTGATGCTCCTTGATGTCTGATGTTCACACATTGGAAATTGCACCAATGGATTTCTACAAAACGGTTGATTTTGGAGAATTTAGTAAATCAAGTTAGCGATTTGGATAAAGTGAGACAAAAAAACATGATTCTCCAAAATAAACGACTATCCTTCAAAAGGATTCTTCAGTGTATATTGTATTTAATAGTGTAACACACGCCTGTTTGTAATAAACAAGATCTGTGGAATGGTTATTGTGTATTGTTCATTTGTTTAACCCCGGTTGTGTCCTGACTAAATCTTCTTTTCAGATCAAAAGCAAGAACTATGAAAAAGTAGAAAAGGTGAGTTTTTAAATTACTTCAGTTTACTTTATTTTTCTAATCTTGATAGTGCATTGTTGACCTTGATAGTGCATTGTTGGCTCATATCCATTGCGAATTAAGACATTCTTTTGAACAATAGCATAAATGAACTTACCATAATTATCTGGGGAAAAAAGCACTGAAGTTATTAACGATTGAAGATGAAGTCAATTCCAGTGGTTGAATATCATATGCAAAATATTCATGCTGCTATATTTTTTTTAAATGGTCAGAGAGATAACAATGTCAAAAACTCTAACTTGCCTTTTTACAAACAGAAAGACACTCTCAACATGTTGTTAAGTGTTAAAAGACTACACATGTAGCAGGGTTCCCAGAGCCGTGGACAATTCTGGGATTGCAAGCTGCAGATGTCATGGGAGGTCAGGGAAAAATCTTGGGATTTTGTTACTTTACAAGGAGTCAAAGAAAGTTGATATTCCAAGAAAAAATCTTGAAAAAAGTCATGGAATCCTGTACAACCCTTACGTGATGATACATACTATTTGGCTATGACAGTCTTGCAGTTAACATTCCAGTTTACTACTGTATACTTCCCCTTTATGAATATGTATGCTCTGTGCTTGTTGGGAGTGGCGTCCCTTCTCTCCTTGCGATGACCGTCCAGTGTATTGTAATGGGCTCCTAAGATGCCATAACAGTGCAGGAATTTGTCATTGAAAGCTCTATTTTTTTCCTTGAAAAGTCATTGAATTTCATTTGAAGATTTCTGTGGAAAAACTGTACTAAATAAACTTATTTTTGAGACCGGTTGTTATAGTGTGTTGACTTTTCTTCTTATCACTATGGATTTTTAAAATAACCAGGATGAAAAGCAATGCTTTACGCCTGAAGCCAAATATTTAGCAAGTTATAAGTTTCTCTAATAAATTATTTAACAAGTTGTTTTCAACTTTGTTCTAAAAATAAAGTAACTGAATGCCAAACCCAATATTTTACAAGATGGAATTCTTGCATTCGGAAGATAAAATTTTAATATTAGTTTGAAAACACTGTATACTCCATGCTGTGGGTGGGCTTGTAAGGATAAAGTCGCAAAGCTTACTGAGATGGGACTTGAACCTACGACCAGCCTACTGCAACAATAGAGCTAGCTGGGGTTAGCTGGCTGGTTCGAACCTGATACAGCAGCAGGTACCGCAATCAACCTCTCCACCTGCCAATCAATCAATCAATGACAAGAAATTTATTAAAACATGTAGTAAGGCTTCATTATTTCCCCTTGCACCCTACCCACCCCACAGTTATTTCAGCGATGCTTGATGAAGGTCCTCAACATCGACCTGTGGAAGTGTTACCTGTCCTATGTGAAGGAGACGAAAGGAGGTCTGGCGTCTTACCGTGAGAAGATGGCTCAGGCTTACGACTTTGCTCTGGACAAGATGGGCATGGATATATTCTCCTACCAGATCTGGGCCGATTATGTCACATACCTCAAGGGAGCGTAAGTTGATAGAAGTTGTTTTCAAATGCCAGAACATTCAAGCAGTAGACCTTTCTGGCCTGTCAATCAACCAATGCCCATTGACCAATCAGATCATGACGTTGATCAGTTGACCAGAGCAGCTAGGTCAAAGTCGGTCACAAGCATTTTTGTAAGAAAAGTACACAGAGCTACCGTAAGTGGGCAGGCCAATCGGAAACAATTCAAACCTTTTGCTACAGAGATTTTGTTGGTTAGACCATCATGTAAGACCATTGTGTATTGTGAGTTCACAGCAAATATCTTGGCAACCCAAGTAGATGGTCGTAATACAGGCCTCTTTGTCTTGATGGAGTTAACAAGTTACTATTGATCCCATTTCTGACCCAATACAATTGTTACTTTGACCATCATCAACAGTGAACCATAGCACTCTTTGAAGAAAATGATAAAATAATACTGGTCAGGGGCCATTGAAACAGCACTCCCAACTTCCTGTGTGTTTAGGAGCAATTGCTGCGAAGTCCCTTGCCCAAGGACAATAGTAACATAATCCCTGACTGAGCCCAATCCAATCAATCATCAGTTTTAGACATAAAGTACAGGAACTTCAGTTTACCAAATTTGTCAATGTCTTTGCTAATAGAGTGCTAATCACTTATTTAATGAATTTCTGATTTATTGATTTTTGGGTCTTACATTTTTCAGGGAGGCTAAGGGTTCCTATGCAGAGAACCAGCGGATCACAGCAGTGCGTAGGGTGTATCAACGAGGCGTAGTCAACCCCATGGTCAACATTGAGGTTTTCTGGAAGGATTACTGTACATATGAAAATGTAGGTGTTGATCCAATAACTCTCTTCATATCTTTGCTTGTGTACAAATAATGAAAGTTGGTATTTGTTTTGTATAACGCCTAAATAAATGCTTGTCATCTGTATGGTAACTAGTGTGACTATACAATGAAACTTCTATTTACTGTACAATGGAACACACACACACGCAAACGTGTTCACAATGTCGATCATGGACATCCTATTGTCCCTCTTTTGTCTGTACCTACATAAATGCTCGTCATCTGTATGGTAACTAGTGTGACTATACAATGAAACTTCTATTTACTGTACAATGGAACACACACACCGCAAACGTGTTCACACCGTAGATCGTGGACATCCTATTGTCCCTCTTTTGTCTGTACCTACATAAATGCTCGTCATCTGTATGGTAACTAGTGTGACTTTACAATGAAACTTCTATTTACTGTACAATGGAACACACACACATGCAAACGTGTTCACACCGTCGATCGTGGACGTCCTGTTGTCCCTCTTTTGTTTGTACTCTTTTTAGGAAGACTCCCGTAGGTTTTGTACACGACCCCAATCGCAGACGTATTCTGGGAAGCGTGGACGATATTGTTCTTTTTTGTTCTCTGGAACTTTTTGTCCACGGTTTGAGTAGATGAACACGCCCACAGTCTGGTTTTAATTTGCTTCTATGGACCCTTCTTTTGTTCCCATTTAGAGTAACTTTTTCTCTGCATTTCACATGAGGTTTGTACACAAAAACCTTCTGAGGGCGTGGGCTCAGGTCCTCCGGAAAATTGTTATCGCAGGCAAATCATTGTCCCAAATCTTCAGACGTAAAGGAGAACAAGATCACACTATTGAAACATCCAAACGTTCAATGTTTGATCCTTTTTTGTTTCAGGGAATCAACCCTATCATTGCCAAGAAAATGATTGACGACAGAAGCCGCAGCTACATGAATGCCAGAAGGGTTGCCAAGGTAACCAATAATCTTGCTCAATACTTTTGGTGCACAAGAAATTTTTTTTTTTTAAACTGCTGCAAGGTGCTGAGTGACTTTGTGTTTCTTTCTTGTAACTGTTTCTGTGGCACTTTGCAGTAGAGAAAGATTTTGCAAGGATCAAAACGTCATAAAAACTGATGTTTTTTTCTTCACTTATTTTTCAAATCCATAGTGAATTAAGATGAACAAATTTGGAAAGATTGAAAAGTCAAGCCATTTAACATTTCTTTAAACCAAGAAATTACTGAATACTTTGTTGGCATCTTGCTCAAAAGAAATCAGTCATCTGCTGAAAGGGTATTAGCATTGCCTGCAAGAACATAAAATTTGTTTATTTAATACAGTGAAATCTCGATAAGTCAAACCTCAAGGGAACAGGTTCAAAATTTGAGTTAAGCAGAGTTTTGAGTTAAGCAGGGCTGTATGTCATTGTTATACTACTGAAGGGAATGGATTCTTTGTCTGACTTAACAGTTGTTTTGAGTTATCAGAGTTTGACTTATCAAAATTTCGCTCAAATTAAATGTAAAAAAAAAACCTTTTTTGTTTTGCTTGTGTAGGAGTATGAGGCCGTAACCAAGGGACTCAATCGCAACAATCCGGCGGTACCCCCCTCAGGCACACTGGATGAATCCAAACAAGTTGAACTGTGGAAGAAATACATCAACTGGGAAAAGACTAACCCAACCAGAACCGAAGATCAAACACTCATGACGAAAAGAGGTAAGACTGTCTAAATTAAGATGAGTATAGACAGGGGGATGGGGACAGAAAAGGGGAGGGGCATGCTATTAATGGGGGGGTATAGAAATTGCCCATGAGAAGGCTGAAATTAGCCACTCAAGAAAAGGGGCTACTTAAATGAAGCCGATACTGACAATTTTCCAACAAAATTATTTGTTAATCAACTAGCGACTCCACAGTTACAATTACTTTCAATGTTATTTGTACAATGCGATCAACTATTGAAACTAAAAAGCACTCAGAGAGCGCAATCCTCTGCCAAGGCTAAATAACTCCCCGCCATATTGTCAGCACACCCAATAGAAATGCTTGCATAAATGGTGAAGAATCCTTTAAAAAAATCCTGAATCCAGACCCAGATCCGGATCACTTCTAAAATCTAATCGGTTTGTACTTGTACCAAGGACCACCCCTGAAAGAATTTTCATGCAAATCCATTCATAACTTGTTGAGTTATCATAGAGTGCTGGGGAAGTTTGGACGGCACACAGAGAAACAAACAGGTGGATTTGTGGTGGTGCAAGGACTATAACATTGGCTGTTTTGTTTTTTTCTTTTGATCCTTGTAGTAATGTTTGCCTATGAGCAGTGTCTGCTATGCCTTGGTCATCACCCGGATGTGTGGTATGAGGCTGCCTTGTATCTGGAGAACTCCAGCAAATCCTTCGCAGAAAAAGGCGTAAGTGGTGTCTCATGAGCGGAAGTTGTAATTACGAGTCTGGAATTCCAGTCACAAGTCAAATCAGAAGTCAGTTCACAAGCTGTGGGGACAAGTAATGACCATGGAATGCCTTTGTCAAAGTTCATTTGAATAGCTTGTGACTTGTCTGGACTTGCAAAGTGATTTTGTGATGAGTTGTAATGACTTGTGATTTGTTGTATGTGACTTGGGATGACTTATGGTGATTTGCAATGACTTGTAATTGACCTGTAATTGGCTTGTTTTAACTTGTGATGACTTGTGATGTGTCACAGTTGACTTGGACAACTGTTGGATGACTTACCATGATTTATAATGACTTGTGATTGACTTGTAATGAATGTTGATGATGTAGATTGCAATGTACTGCATCAGTCACAAAATCTGTTGTGTTATTTGTCAATTTGTGTCATCCAGGACATGAACAATGCCAAAGTATTCAGTGACGAGGCAGCAGCGATCTACGAGAGAGCCATCCAAACGCTCATGAAGAAGAGCATGCTTATCTACTTTGCTTACGCAGACTTTGAAGAGGTAAGTGAGACAAACTCCTCTCCCCTGAACACCTGCCATGTCCCCAGCTCAAGCCTTCTCACTAAACCAGAATTCTTGTGAGAGGTGACAAAGCAGCATCTACTGTTTATGTACGGTGAATCTTTCAACATTTACTGTGAAAGTTTCTTTACCTTTGGATTTATTTCAGGGTCGGATGAAATACGAAAAGGTCCACAACATCTACAAGAGATTATTGGCCATTGAAGACATCGACCCAACTCTGGTAAGTAGAGAAGAGGATAATATGAAACCTCTGATTTTGTTTATAATTATAACATACTAAGCCATTATTTTTGGATTACCTTTTGTATTGTGGTACAAACTTTATATTACCTATACCTTCCAATAATATACTATTGCTATCTTTGATCTCGACTTTAAAGATAAAGTTGATCATTTGCAGCTATCCAGAAAGTAACTGACCAACTTATTGTTGAAAAGCTTACATGGTTTAAAGACAGTAAACTCCCTGTGAAATTATTCCTTCTGGCATGCTGTCATTTTGGAGAAAACAATAAAAGAAGGTCATTTCCAAAGATGAGTCAAGGGACTAATTTTTGGAAATTTCCGTCAGTAGTTGGTTTGTAATTGGGCGAATCCATGAGTGGGTGCGCACAAGCTTTGACACAGCGCACACACGCTCGGTTGCTATAATTCCTCGGTTCAGTGCGTGACATCGTGACATCATTGGCTTAATAAGAACGTGATCCGGATGCTGATTTCAGGCGCAATTCAAAATATGACTGGGCAACTTATGAATTGTAATCAAGATCCTAGCATATTGTTTTCTCGAATATACAGCATTCACAGAGCTAAAACTTCATCAGGTTAGTTCTTAAGAACCGGTCTTTAGATTTTGAGCACTTTTGTGGCTTCAACCGAAGCGAATGCACAAATGAGAAAATTCTACCTTTAACCCAATTGATATCTCAGGTCTACATCCAGTACATGAAGTTCACTCGCCGAGCAGAAGGCATCAAGACCGCCCGGGGAATCTTCAAGAAAGCTAGGGAAGATGCCAGAGTACGCTACCATGTCTTCATAGCGGCGTCTCTAATGGAATACTACTGCAGCAAGGTAAGAGTGTCCTTGGGCAAGCCACTTTATCTTGATCTGGATAGTCTTTGTCTAGGAATGAATGGATACATAGGAGAAAGAAATGTCTATTGCATTTGATTTAACCATTTGCGCTGATAATGCAGCATTGAGCTGTAAGCTTACCAGGGAGTTGAAATGGTATTTGGAGGTTTTTTTTCATTGGCCGGATGAGTAGGGGTAATAATGATGATGTACTGATCTATGAACACGTGGTCTGTGGATGTATGTACCATATAATGATTATTGTAATATTTTTTATTATTGGTATTGCACGCAGTCACAAAAAAAGTCATGAAAATAATCTGAACAGGAACTATAACGGCCAGAGCTTCTACAGATAAACTTGTTTTGGCAATGCATCATTTATCTTTTACTTGCCTTATTAAAAATCTTGAGATTTCATACTCTGGAATACATTTAAGAACTTTTCATGAGATGGAATTTGCGTCGGGGTGATATAAGTAAATGGGTTTTGCTCTTCACTGACGTATAAACACTGTATACTCAGTGTGTTACCTCCTGAGTGAAAGTTGGAAAAAAAACCACTCAGGTGGGACTCGAACACGCGACCTCCTGCTTACTAGTGCAGACGTCTTACCACTCAATCACCGAGCTTGCGGGATCGGTTGGCTGGTACGAATCTGGTTAAAGAACTGCTAATATTTGCTTTGATCTATTAAAACAGTACTTAAGTTATTATTAGTGTCATACTCCGATTGCTCTGGTAAATACAATTTGTTGAGTACAAAATGCATGTTCTGAGTACATCAACGCTGTTTGATATCATTGCAATTACAGTTCATTGCTAGATTGCCCTCATATGTATTTCACTGGGGTTTTTTTACCGTTACCCAACATTCAGGATCAACAAGTTGCATTCAAGATCTTTGAGCTGGGTCTGAAGAAGTACGGAGATATCCCAGAATACATCCTTTCTTACACTGACTACCTTTCACATCTTAATGGTAAGTGTCCAGATTTTTCCCTTCTTTTATTTTAATTTTTTTTGGGGGGGGGGTTTATGGGTTTGTTTTTGAAAAGAAATGTCAAAGTGGTAATTAAGTCTACATGAGACTTCAAAATGCTAAAATTGTCCGGCTGTCAAAATTCCAAAAGTGTAGGGGGGCACCTGAACACAAACAACACAAGGGTCACTGTTCATGATATAAGTTTACATCTCATGCAAAACTTGAGAGCTCATGCTTGACCTTACATCAAAACGATACATTTTGTTATCCATTTTGCAGTGCTGTTTAATACATTTGGGCTGTTGGAAAGTTAGAAAATATCCTTAAAATGGGTATTGTTTTTTACTTCGTGCTACAAAAATGGGGGTGGGGGTCTGATCCAATGACCCATTCCCCCCCCCCCCCTGGTCAAAAGGGGGGGTGGATTTATCCTGAAATTTATCCTGAAATTGCCCGATTTCAAGCTTTTTTTCAAATTGTAAATACTATATTGACACTGTAAATGTGTGTGCGTGTATACCTGAATACCTCCAGTTTCATAATGTCAGAGTCCACTTACAACTCTGTAGGTTGAATATACCAGGCTCGGATCTAGCTTTCAGGAAATGCATGGGGTGTTGATATTTGATTGAAGGTGTGCCCCTGCTATAGGGGGTCGGGGGGATGGCATGCCCCCTCCAGAATAAATTTAGAATAAATTTAGGAATGTTGAGTCCAATGTTATATTTCAAATTATTTAAACAAAAATTTGGGGCCCCATTTTTCTTACATCATAAAAACAATTATCCTCTGATAAGCAAACGATAACCCTTTATCACTCCTTCGTACATATATTAGATCTCTTGAATGTCTTTATTATCTCTTTGCAGAGGATAACAACACAAGGGTATTGTTTGAGAGGGTCTTGACAGCAGGGTCCTTGCCAGTGGAGAAGTCAGGGTAAGTCATTCTCATTATGTTGACTCAAGCCATGCCTTGTCCAAGAATGCGTCCAAGTCACCTGGCTACTGTAGATAGTAAAACACATGCCATGGGAAGTGGCTTAAGCTGTAGCCAAGTAATTCAGATGATGTGAAGGCAAAAGTGTGCTTAGGCCAACTCAACTTTGGGTCTTACAGGCAATATACAACATTTGCAAACATCAAAAAACAAAACTACCAAATTATTATGAAATCCTGGACTGTTAGTAAATGACACCCTCAAGCAACCTGTAAAATCATGGCACCTGATGTGCTGTCATTTTCAAGAAAAGTGGCATTTTTGTATCGATTTCCAATGCTGGTCGGCCGACTATCATTGGAAAAACTGGTTGGTTTGCCCCAATCATTGCCCCAATTTGGAAGCATCAAGAAACAAAACTACCAAAGTACCTTACTGGACTGTTAGTGAATGACAGTCTAAAGCATCCTGTAAAATCATGGCACATGGTGTGCTGACATTTTCAAGAAAGGTGGATGTGTATCAATTTCCAACGATGGTCGGCTGACCATCGTTGGAAAAAAATGGCTTTTTCATATACTGCCCCCACTTTACCAAATTTAGTTAGTCCGCATTTTGTTTGCAATCGTTTACACATCTGTGAACTGATACAAGCCAGCGAAACTGGTTCCCTGTCCTTACACGTCCCCGACGTCTATAAATTGCTCCGTTTCATCTGAAGTGGGGTAGGAAACCAGACTACAAAAGTACAAGAACACAAACATGGGATATTTATATTGTTTGGGTATGGGCTTGTTGTCAGTTTTCTCTGTGTGTTTGTTTTATTATCAAGTGAGATCTGGCTGCGATTTGAGGACTTTGAATCAAGTTGTGGAGACCTAACAAGCGTCGTCAAAGTGGAGAGGAGAAGACTAGCCCTCTTCAAAGAAGTAAGTCATAGATTAATCGTCAAATGGAATTGGAAACTGTCACTGGGGTTGAACCACACTGGTAGGTGTTTATAAAGAAAAGGCATGCTCATTTAGCTAAGCCTATTGGATGAAAGGCATCAAGTGTATGTGTACCACCTGCCTGCAAAAGAGGTTCCACCGTAGTAATGGTTTCTAATTGAGGTTTTCAAATCAGAAAAGTGACCGAATTAGAAAAAATTCAAACAATTCTAAACACTTTCTTGCTATCACTCATGCTAAAAATGTTTAGCATGTAAACCTGTTTAAACTGATAGCAAGAAAGTGTTTAGAATTGTTTGAATTTTTTCTCACTAAACTCACTAAACACATTTATTTTTTTGAACTCACTAAACACATTTATGTAGGCAAGGCAAGTATCCACACAGAGGCAATTAGGCTACCTTTGTCCCAACGCCTAAAATTGAAAGCTTGGTCCCATGGTTAATTGACCTCTCTTGGAAAATTAGTCATAACTCTGTCAAAAATTATCAGATTTGGACGTTTGATGTCTCATTTTAAAGTGAAAAGGCGTACCTATTGAACCAAACCTCATATCTATGTTGGTTACTCATTCTACATCTGCCATTCTTTGATATTTTGTTTGCAAATTGTTTGAAAATTACTACCGTTATATGCTCTTACAACCTGACACTGATGACAACTAACCTGGTTTTATTTTTTGTAGGAATTCAAAGATCGGGAATCCAGCTTGCTCGTAGATCGTTACAGATACCTGGATCTCTACCCGTGCTCATCTGCTGAACTGAAAGCCATTGGATACAGAGTATGTCACACTCTCAAAAATATTCTGAGAGAGTTTGTATCTTAAATGTGGAAAACTTGGAATTTCAAATTGGGAGCATGTGCTGACTTGTATTAATTGGGAATTCATGTTTTTACCACTGGGAATTTTCTTGGAAGGGCAAGTTGTTCCATCCAGTGTTTTAGTCGAGTCCATCACAAGGCCGTCACAAGACTGTCACAAATCAAATCACAGGTGATGTCACAAGTACCGGGGACAAGAAGTAAAGGAATGCTTTTGTCACAGTTCATTTGAATAGTTTTCCGCTAGACGTGAAACAGGATGACTAGTTTTTGAATAAGCCATTTGTGAGTGACCTATACCCTATAGGATTTACATTTGATAAACATGTGGTACACTGACTTGCTCAGAATGCTTGGCACATTTTAACTTTGAATTCTCCAGACCAAAGACATTGTTGCTAATCACATGATTTGGGGCAAGCTCTTGCATAGTTACGTAAGAGAAGCTCGGCATCAGTACATTGCTCACAATGGGTGAGAATGGCACAAAGACACCAGACCATTCCGGAGCTGGGGGTTGCTAGTATAAGTCTTGCCTCGATTCATGTGATATAGTAACAGTCTCTTTGGTCGGGAGAATGCAAAGTTAAAACGTGCAAAGCATTGGATTAAATCAGCGTTCCAGATTTTATTCACATTTGATTCGCAAATGGCTTATTGTAAGGATTTGATTACAACTCCTGTTCCATCTGAAAGAGAACTGGCATATTTATAGCCATCAAAAATCATACATGGTCCCTTTAACTTTGAATGAAGACAGTTGTTTACATTCCCAAATTTTTTTAATTTTTTTTACATTCTGTACTTGAATTCAAGTTTTCAGTTTGTACATGTCCTTCCCAGCTTTTTAACCCTATTATTCCTCATTTTGTCCATCCAGGATCTTACACAGCGGCACACAGTTCAAGTTCTTCAAAATCCATCCATCTCAAAAGAGGCGGGGCCATCCACCGAGACCAAGGAGGAGGAAGGAGCTGATGCTAAGAAGACAGAATTTCCCACTCCTGATTTGCATCAGATGTTGCCCTTCACCCCACGATCTCAAGCCCGTATGTATTCTTAGTACATTTACAAATCCCAATTTCTTAATCTCTCTAGAAACATATTTTAAGCCATGACAAGCTGGTTGTTTTCAGCCTATTTGCACCTGTACTATGCTGTACTACATTGTATTACATTGTATTGCATTGTATTACATTGTATTACATTGTATTATATTGTGTTACATTGTATTTATTCCCTGCTGAAACCATTGAACCATACAGCGCTGGGGCAGTTTATGGCAGTACAGGGAGTAGTAGGCAGGGCAGGGACTAAAAGGGTTAATCCAAACAAACAGCAGATTGTGCAGTCAGTGATTTTGATGGAAGTTACATTTTGACTGCGAACGGAAGTCGATGAATTGGGGCATTCACAATATCATACAAGTATTTTCTCAAAGATAGTACTTTTTCAATTCATGGTTGACTTACTTCATGTAGTGTCCTGCATTTAATCATCCTTTCTTTAATTATGGGCAGTTTGCAACAAATATAAATGCATTTGGAAGCCTTAAAATAGAAACTGTATGTTTTTTTCAAAGAATAGGATATTCCAACTTATACAAAATACAAAAAACTTGTCTTAAGCAAAATACCACTTTCTTGCAATGTCTACTAACGTAACGGATGTTCACTTTTCCCCCATAATTTACTGTCAGTAAAGCAGGATTTATGCTTCCAACTTCAGCTTGTGCACTTTTGAATATTGTGGAATTTAAGTGTATTTCTATTGTTTTTTATTTTTCCAACTAGCTCCTGGTGCTCATCCTGTGCCAGGGGGTGTGTTTCCATTACCTCTGGCAGCTGCTCATGTTGTGTCGAGGTTACCCCCACCAGCCTGCTTTCAGGTCAGTCATCGTGAAGAACCAAAACACACAGCCTTAAGATTGATTGAATGCTATGTAGAATACTGTAGCCTTGTGATCTGAAGCCAATTTCGTGGAGCTGCTTAGCACAGATTTGCTCAGCACAGAAACAATGTACAGTACTTAGCAAAAAGAGGTTACCAGCCAATATTTATATTACTTGTGGCTGGTTCTCTGCTGATTTTTGCTACGGCCAAAAAAAAATAGTCGGTCTCTGGTCAGCACGCGCGTCGATTTTGATCATGCGTGTCAATGGGTTTTTTTCTTCAAATTTTCTGCGGTAGCTACAACAGTGCCCTCTATTGCCGCACCGCCTCAAATTTTCATTTAAAAACAGGTTCTGTTGTTCTGAAAGTGTAGCAGGGCTTGTTTTTAAAACATTTTGGAGGCAAAGTCCAAGTCATAAAAGTTGCCTTGGCTGTATGGAAAATGTGAAGGAAAGCATTTAGGGTACCTACATGTAGCCAAACGAGGAGGGAACCTACATGTAGGCAAATGGGGGCACCGAGCAAATGTGGAGGACACCAAGGCATTGGGAGAGCATCTAGGCAAATGATGGGCACCAAGGAATGGGGAAGGGCACCAAGGCAAATGATGGAAGACACCACACACACACAAAACAAAATAGTACCCACCTTGTCTGTACAATCCAAGCTTGAAAAAAAAAACGCATTGCCGCATCAATTCCGAAACTTTGGTCTGACCAGAGACCCACTTTTTTTTTTTTTTTTTTTTTTTTTTTTGGCCTAGGCAATGTTTACTGCTGAACAGTTCAATGAAATTGGCCCTTGGGTGTTGCTGCTACTTTTTCTCTTCCAGTAGTGAACTGGGCACCTGTGAGGGCAGAGATGCTGAATGTGTATGAATTAAGCATTATAAATGAACCAATCAAGCTGTAAACTCCTAAGGAAGATCAGATGGTCTGAGAAATGCATTATGGTCTTGATGAGCAGGGATGGAAAATGTCCAGAAGTTTGATATCTTAAAAACACAACCCAAATCTATCTAATGTTGGAATGTTATTGTACTTGACAGGGTCCTTTTGTCAAAGTTGACAGCCTCATGAAGATCCTGGCGGAATGCAAGATTCCTGAGCGTAAGTTTAAAATAAGGAGAAGCTTGTGCTGTGGTTATTTGCATGATTATCGTAGGAACTAGGCCACGATGATCAAATTTTGTGATGGGGCCTAATTGTAAATAATCCTTCAAGTACGTAGTTTTATGCATTTTAAGTCAGGTGTGACACTGTGATCTTGTTAGCGACAACTTACTTTAGGCATATGAATCCCTACATTGCCCAATATTTAGTCCACAACTTGAAAATTTTGAGAGGAAAACACAAGGCCCCCAAAAAGTTCAGACAAAATTAAAAAGCACCATCAACTTTTTGAGCTGTCATGTCGAGTATCAAATTCCTTCACTCCCTTAGAATTCAATCGCAGTGCAAACTTTGCACTGCTTTTTGGGGTTTGAACAAGTACAGTTATAGCTTGGAAAATGTCCCATATGAGACCTAATTCTAACTTCTAAATTTGTGTTATTTAATCAAAAGAGTCGGTGCTAGGGGTGTGTCGAACTGGTTCCTGACATGAGTTGTCGGGTACTTGGGTACATGGTTCTGATGCACAGACCTGGGCCCAATTTCACGGCGCTGCTAAGCACAAAAATTTGCTTAGCACAAAAAAATTGGGCTTATAAAAGCAGGTTACTGGCCAAAACCCCATGTGATTTTCAATGCTAAGCAAACAACAGCTGAATGCTAATCACGAGCATTATACATCACGTGGAGTTTTGGCTGGTAACCTGCTTTTATAAGCCAGCCTTTTTTTGTGCTAAGCAAATTTGTGTGCTTAGCAGCGCCGTGAAATTGGCCGCTGGTCAGCACGTTTATTCCTGCAAAAAAAAAAACACACACCAATCTATTCAAGACTTTTTTTTTAAACCTACTTGTTTTGTTTTTAATATTTAGCCAAGATTGAGAACGTTGCTATAAATGGCGAGATGGGCGACAACGATGAGGATGGAGGTGGGAAACGCAAACGCACAGGAGACAAGAACGAAGATTCTGACGACGATGAGGAAACGCATAGCGCCCCCGCCCACGACATTTACCGAAGCCGACAGCAGAAACGCGTCAGGTAGAAGCAGGAATCATGGCGAGTCTTCATTTAATAAAGAATCATCAGGTACTAGACGTCATAACAGGTACATGTACACGTGCATCAAAAGCAAAAATTGTGTCTAGACTTCGGACACTGTACAACGGAATGCAGTGCATGTGAAAATTGACCAGTATTTCACACCATTGAAAATCTCAGCATTAAATTTCCCTTGATGACAGCCAAAAAAAGAGTAAGATGTGTAAAAAAAATTCCTCTGTGTGATCGAGAAATATGCTATTATGTTTCAACACTCAGTTAACTTTCAACACTTCTTCTTGTTGAAATAGGCAGCAGGCATGAGAGGGTTAAAAATTCTAGTTTTCAAAGATTTGCATACATGATTTCTTGACTTTCAACTTGATGTCATATAAGATGATAGCCTCATCATTTACCACCCATTTTAGACTAACGTTGCAGAGAAGCACCGAATTAAATTACTGTGAAGTTTTAATTAAGTACACAAAAAGTTCGATTTTTGCAAGGGGAGTGACTACATGGAAAGATTAACTGTTTCAAGCATTGGTTGTAATACCCGATTTCAGGCTGGGTTCCAAAGTCTTGCTGAACCAAGAAGTATTAGGAGCAACTCTTGACGACCACTATAGATTTTGGTTTCAGAAAGATGAACTTAAATATCAGTTGTCCATTGACAAAACTCTGGAGTTCTTACGAATAACTAACAACCGAAATATTTCTATGACCTAGATGTGTAGTCACTACTAATTATTTCAAACATCATTCTTTATTCAAATCTTAGAAATATGTTGGTTTGGCGCAACTCTGTCACGCCGGTCTGAAACTGTTCATCTGTCAGTGACATCAATTATTATCTGGTAACCTTACTGACCCAACTCACATATTGTCAAAAGCCAGGGTGTAAGTGGGGGGAGGGGGAGGGGGGACAAAGAAGTTAACTCAAAGGTCATGCATGGCCTTGGGCCCCTGAAGGCCAAATATTGCACTATTTTTACCTTGTGTCTTGTTCAATTCACGTGTCTGATTAGCTTAACGGGTCACTTCCTTCATTGTAGTGGACTACAGTTTTTGTTGTCAAGCATTTCCAGTTTTTTTATCCAACAATCTTTAACTTTTATCTGTTGTGGGAATTCTTACTTTTCAACCACTTTTCTTGTAAATACATATTTTCTCAAAGTTGCATCCAGAAAACGCCACCTTTGAAATTAACTTTTTTTCCCCTCAAATTTAATGGAATATTGTTATGGGTTGTGAATGCACTGGTTTCATTTTTTGTTTTCACTACAATACAGTGGAAGTTTTCAATTTAGATTCCCCTACTTTACAATTTCTTCTTTACTTTGAAAATGTTGTACAGTGACACTTGAAACTTTGTTCACCTTATATCTGCAGGGTGTGATGTCTGACTATACTCTGGAACTTTTTAATTAGTTAAATTTTTTTGTGTAATAAAGTGCAAGTACAGATTAAAAAAAAGGAAGAAAAATTAAGTTGCGTATGTTTTGTCATTGCGTAAATTATTTTGTTCGTTTGAAATATTTTATGTAGTAGGGACGCCATCTCTCATTTCGTACATCGTACAGAGCTTTTGTTAAAGGGAATATACAACATTTGCAAACATTGAAAATAAAACTACCAAGTTTTTACGAAATACCTTACTAGGATGTTGGTAAATGACAGTCTCAAGCATCTTGTAAAATTATGGCACCTGGTGTGAAGTCATTTTCAAGAAAATGGTATTTGTGTATACATTTCCAACGGTGGTCGGCCGACCAGCGTTGGAAAAACCTAACTATTGTTCAACTACTGCTCCAAATTTACCATTTTTCAGTCCAAATTTTGTTTGCTATTGGTTACATGTTCATGAACGGGGTGCAGGCCAGCTAGACTGGTTCCCTTGCCTTACAATTTTCCATCATCTATAAATTGATCCATTTTATCTTTTGTGGAGTCAGGGAACCAGACTACTTGAAAAGTTTTGTTTTTCTTGGTTTTTCCAATCTTTTCGAACACAAAACTTCAAAAATGTCAGTGTAACAATAGCTGATCTATTATAGTGCTAACCCCTCAAATAGTTCATTTCTGAAAATTACAGCAAAAGCCAATGATGTACATTCCCTTTAACTTCAACTGGGAATAGCATTTACTGTAAAAATGTATACCAAAAATGAGGTTTCCCTAGATACTGAAATGTTAGAGGATAAAAGCAGAAAATTTACTTCCACCCCACCCCATTCCCATTTTAAAAGTGTATAATATTGCTCCATACCAGAAACCGGAGACTTTTTTTTGGCCTTGAGTAACCAGACAAGGATTCAATTATACACAGGATATAAAATCCTCATTAGAGATTGTTCTGTTTCTTTTGTGTATTCGTGGGCTCTTTTAGTACCACATTGCAACCCAAGACAAGGATTCAATTATACACAGGATATAAAATCCTCATTAGAGATTGTTCTGTTTCTTTTGTGTATTCGTGGGCTCTTTTAGTACCACATTGTAACCCACTGCTGTGTCGACTGCCAGATACGAAAAAAACACAAAAACCCTTTATGGAAAAATGGAAACGTATACCTGAACTATGCAAATCAACGCTCTCAGGCTAGCGGTAGCAATTGGAAGACAATGGGTGTGTTTTGATATACAATTCTATAGTATATTAAAGCATTAATTATGGTCAGTTTAATACATAAAACAGTGTGAGCAAACAAAACTATGCACTTTTAAAATTTACCATAGTTTTTTTTTCTGTAGTAATATAGATATTACTGTGTTCTTTTTAAATTGTTTCTTTCTTATCCAGCCCTGACCAGTTGGCGCAAGTCAGATTTCACCGACCCCTTTAATTGTTTTCTGTGCAGTCATGCATGAAAACTAATCCAGTGAAAATGTCACCAAAAGAAGCAGGAAGAGTTACTCTAAAAGTACATATGAAAATATCTTATCTTTATTGCTACAGAATAAAACTATGGCCAATTTTAAAAGTGTATTGGTGTATTTTTACTCGCACTGTATAAGAAGGGGCGTGCAGGACCTGGGTTCTAATGAACAGGCTGGTCACACAAACAACAAAACTATATTCTCAGACCTTTCATCCTATTTCAGAGATTTGTTTAAATACACAATATCATCCCTGGTAAACTAGTATGTCTTCTAGTTCCTTTTTCCCCTGAAAATCAAAGTAAGCTAAAATTGAGCTCCCTGTTAAAATCACCATGGCAACGTCTATAGCGAAATAAATACCCCATCGCCTCTATGTTCGAGCCTGGTATATTTTGCCACGCCACCCAAGCTTGGGAACATTATTCAAGCGTGCAGATTGCCTGCAACTTCAACCATGCAACTATGTTAATTCACCACCCATATCATTGTCACTCCTTTGTTCCATTGGTGTGAATTTCAGAGAAGGGAGAACATGAATTAACCAAAAAAAAAAATCTTCTCCGTGAATTGTCCCATTGTTTGTCGCAAATCAAATAACAAAGTCTGTTTTTTAAGTTGATTAGGCCTATTGGCAGACGAGGCATATTTCAACAATATGTTTTTAAACCAGATTTTGCTCAAGATATTTTCCCCTGTGTGGTATTTCAGTCAGGGGAATCGTTGAGTGGTTATGAAGAACCCTCGATCACCCATTAAGGACGGTCTCGTGTATCAAATTCAACGCGAAATGCGTATCAAGTTTATTCATCTGATAGCAGTTGGAGATTTTTTTTTGAGGAGATGCAAAATAAAAATCGGCCGTGATTCGACCAAGTAGCGATCCGAGTTGAAGTGGACGGGAATGAGACGTGAAAAGTAAATTCGATAGGTCTGAGTCTGACCATAGAGCAATACAAGGAACAGATACGGATCATAGCCATACCGACGTCTACTGTAAGAACTGAAGTGGATCAACGTGTAGAGTAATAATGAGTTCGGTTTAGGTGGTTGATTTACCGTGAACTTTAGGCGAGGTGGCATTCTAGAGTTGTGTGGATTTAAATGAGTGCACAATGAAGTTTGATCATTTTGAGGATGTAGGGAACAATTGGCACGCTGGGTTTTGAAGTAGACTGATCAGCATCAACCACGTGTGCACAACGGTTTTGCACACCATCGGGAACAAATTCAAATCCTTTCACTTTTTAGGGCAAGTTTCTCCAAACCAGACAAGTTTTTGGCCGCGTGTTTGGTGAGTTAGCGATTAATTCTGGCAACTAGTCAACGTAGTCAGTATGTTTCTCTATTGTTAGCGTTACTTCAGTTTTTCGCAGGAGTTAGACTGAGACGACCCGACAAAGTAGAGTTGTGTCGATATCCTACATGCATGTGCGGGAGGAGGATGAGGCATTATAGAGCACGTGAGCAACAACAACCGTCTTTGCTTATTTGAAACGACTTGTTTTGCGCACACAGAGTTAAATGGAGCAATACCGTCACAGTGATGGCTTGGATGTGATTCAATCTTGTGAGTTTTACTAATAATTTTTAAACAACGCGCTTGGATGACGATAGCATCAACAAGAGTACCGTTTTGCAGTATGACATGCTACGTCCTGGATAAACTCACTTATGCTGTCGTTTAGGGAAGGAAACGAAACAAACTGGCTCAGAAAACGTAGTGCAATATCAATATCTTATTCAGAAAGATGTCCAATAAAGATGAGATGTGTCCAGCAAATGCTTTGCTTTCCAGCAGCAGGCCAGGGAGTTCTCTGAGTCTTCGAGACAGCACCGCCTCCCTCACGTCGGGTGAAAAGGAAATCATCAGAGGCATCTGCCAGAACAAATTCTACGGAGATTGTCATGGCAACGACGGTGGTTTGACTAAAAGGGGTCAGTTTAGCATACTGGCGTCCAGGCGTTGCACCCCCGAAGTCCCCGCGCCGGAACGCACGACATTCCGAGACGTGTTGCCGAAGGTCCACGTGACGCCCATCGTCCCGCGTCTGTGGCCGGACCATGATGACTTCACGGCGGGAATTTTGAAGATTGTCAGGGAGGTGCAGGTGCGCCATCTCGCGACGAAAGTCTGCAGCGGAATGTCCCCATCATTGGCCAGATTTAATCCCCAGCAATCTGTTAGACCTCTGGGCCTTGAAAGAGCATCACTGCCCGTGACAAATTTAACGTTACAGCCATTGTCAATAAATTCGACTACGCGATCACTGGTCAATCCTGTTCCTGTGACGAGTCCAATTCATCCCCAACCTGAAACTTTACAACGGGCTAAAGTGCCCTCTGTGAGGATCAAGAAACGAAAACACACACCCTGTGCATGTTCAGGGGCCACACCACAATCGTCCAGAGGAAGTTTTCATTCTTATCGAAAGGGAATGACAAAGACGAGACGAGTCATTGAGGTCTCCGGGAAAGACGGAGGTCGTCTCAGGAGGAAACTGTACCTAGATGTTTTTCTTCCCACGACCGGGATAGCGGTGGAGGATGGAGAAGAAGCGACTTCACCCAAAGATTTGACTGGGGGAGACTTAGAAGACAAATTAAAGGATGATAATGAAATTGTAAATGTTGACGATGACGAAGTGGAATATACCGATTAATTTACTGTTAAAACCAAACATTCTCAAAGTTTAAATTTGACACTCTTTTTTTAAGACATAAATTTAGACACGCACACACCGCCGGGATATTGACTAGCTGTTATAATAGTCACTTCGGCTCGCTTCCTTCTTGACCGAACTGGAAAGGTTGGGAAATTCTTGGATTAAAGTTTCAGACTCTTGTTTGTGGTAAGATATAACTTTTGCTCAAGAAACAACTTTTGGGTTTGGAATATAGATACAATTTCGGGCCATACTGAGACCCCCACCCCTCGCCCCTCCCGGCACCTGTAGTTGAACCACTTATGGTTCGATTGTTAACTTGGACTCAGTGCAGCGTAGACACAGGGCAAGTTCGCGCAAGGACTATAGTTAACCATTGGTCGACTAACGCTTGCCCGAACTCTGTCTAGTCGACGATGGTTGACTACGCTAGTCGACTATTTGGAACCAGCCTACTGGGGTTGGTTGCTTCGCTGGTAACATAGCCGCGCGCATTCATAACGTACAGCAGAGAGCCAGGATCCAGAAGTTTTGCGATGACATTTTGACCAGCGTTTGACTAGAGACGTTCGCACGTTGCTATCAGTGCGCAGGCGTAAGGTACGTCACAAATCAACCACTAGTCGACTAATGGTCCTTGCGCGAACTTGGCCACAGTTGTTCACATCACAGCAAGGGCGAGCCGATTCGTTTTCTGTACTCCAATAATTCTGCATTCGGTTAATTCTGCAAAACAAGACTGCGTCTTGAGATTCTGACCAGCAGCGGGCGCCGGGTCTCGAGCCGGGTAACCCGTTGCATTACAAAACATGCATGGTAGGCAACATGACCAATCAACAGCTTAGTCCGCATTTTTGTTCGAAATGAGGAAAGAATTCCATACCTGGAGCATCACTTGATACCCTGTTCACAAACCCGATGAGACTTATCTGAACAATTCCAAGTGTTTTCTCACTAATGGTTCAACATTTTCCTTGCTAAATTAGACTTTTAGGACATGTTATCGCTTTCTGATGGTTGGTAGGTCATTGCAGGGGAAAATAGGTGATGGACATAATATGGAACTCTTTCCCGAAATAATGTCACAATTTCTAAAGTCCACTCCGATTGGCTGGCGCGTGGGGTCGGATAAAATGTGCATGCCCACATTACGTTGGCTAGGCGTACGGAGAGCTATCCAATGAACAACGGATGATACTCAGACCACATAGATCAGACAGGACCAGATGAAGTGGCGTAAATCTGTGCAGGCGAGTGGAGGGAGGGGGGGATATGGCCCGAAATCCAAAAATTGCCCGGCCGTGGTAATTCGAAATGGGGGGGGGGGGGGGGGGGGGGAGGGCTGGAAACCACATTACACTAGGGAGCGCTGTTCATGATACAGATGTACTTATAACCTTACAACAAAACGGTGCATTTAAAGCTGTTGTACTTTTTTCTCCGTTTTTCAGTGCTATTGAATACCTTTTGATTGTTGGGAAGTTCGAAAAAATACCTCAAAGTCCGCATTCTTTGTTTCTCATCACGAAAAAGTGGGGGATGATCCCGACCCCCCCCCCCCCCCGGCCGCCCGGTTGCGATTTTTTTCTCCCAAATGACATCCGCATATATCCGGGTGTAGGCGCTAAACAACCATGACTATGTGGATGTAGTTTGGGAAAAGAAAATTCGGCCCCCGGTCAAAAAGTGTGAGGGGGGGGGGGGGGAATATATACCCCCACTCAGGGAACTATACGCCTCCCCCCAGCATAGTTGGACTATATGAAATACGGACTCGTTGGCTGTATTGCGAATGCCTTGGTGAACATAAATAGGGCAGTGACAGGTCACGTCGGTGTGAGGCTGGTTATTTAGCGTCCAAATTTTCATATGATGCCACCTCGTAAAACTTTTTTCTTTTGGAAAGCAAGCGACTCACAGCAAGTTTATTGATGAGTACTCGGTTTTGCCTCCAATTTCTGAACCACTAAGGCAAACCAAACGAAAATATTCTAAAATTATTATTGGCTTCATATCATTGGATGTTCCTGAAGCATCTGCCCAAAGTTGGGGGCCTACAATTTCCTTAAGCCAAAAACGAAACGAAGCCAGGGTTTCGAAAAGGCCCCTAGTCTGGTGCGTAATTATTGTATGGTTCCCAGTCTCTATTATAAATAACAAGGTGTACGCAGCGCGCGCATGGGGATGGACCGGCAATGCTTTGACCGGTCGGTCCGGGATTCACGTACGCCAACACAGTCAAGTAAAAGACATAATTTTGCCGTGTAATTTATTGGTTTTAACAGAGAATTTCTGTCATTTGTTAGGGACGCCTCAGACATAAAATGAAACTGGTTGTTAACAGTCTTGCGTAGTGTTTTTTCCGGAGTTTGTGGTTTGAAAAACAAACATATTCGACATGAAACGTCAACAACGCGAACAAGAAAGTCAAAGTGGTCATCTCACGGACACGACGTCGACAGATGAGGATGCCCTGCCGCAGCAGGAGGCCAAAGTGCAAAAGCTGGAAAATGACGTGCCAAAATCTCATGAGAGGTGACTATTTTTTCTTGAGTTTCACTCTAGGTAACTATAGTCCGAGTAACTTGGACCCAACTTATCGCCTTTTAATTTTATAACATTTGGACTAGCTGGAGTTACCCAGCCCTAAATTTTATCATTGGGTTGTCATCTAGATGACAACCCAATGATAAAATTTAGGGCTGGGTAACTCCAGCTACATTTGGACATGGTCTGGCGCCACTATCGCCAGACCATGTCCGAATGTTAAAAAGGCGATAAGTTGGGTCCAAGTTACTCGGACTAATACAGGGCCACTCCATTCCATATCCGCGCATTAGCTGGAGTTACCCAGCCCTGAGTTTTATCATTGGGTTGTCTAGCTGGAGTTACCCAGCCCTGAGTTTTATCATTGGGTTGTCTATTAGGGCTGGAGCGCATTTTTCTCAAAACTTGTAGTATTTGCAAAAATAATTTGGAAAATGTTCAATTTTGTCCCCGTTACACACTAATTGCAACTGCAACTCACCCCAAACTTGCCTGGAATAACCATTACACAGGTCCTTGAAGTAAAAAACGATCCACGATGAAGATTCAGCCTACAATTGCAGTGAAAACAGGAGGAATAACCGCTAACTTGACAACCTTGCTGGATTGGCCAGGACCGCTATTGGTTTGTGCACAAAAAAAATTGTGTACAATGAATGGCGGTCGATTAACTGGCACAGAGAGCGATCGCTGTCAACTACTCGTTTTGCCGGCTGCGCTGGCTGTTGGCGCGTGACGTCACGCGGAAGCGTAACACCCGATGACTGTTTCATGCACTAGTATAAGGTTTACCACTCGCATCACAGCTTTGGTACTGGAACCGCAACCAATAGTGCATGAAAGCGCCCTCTATTGATGACTTCATGCTCATCCACCCCGCATCCGCGCATCCACGCATCCAAGACATCCCAAGCCGTCTCACTCAGTGTATATATACTACGTACTTGTCATTCATTCACTCTCTATAGCGCCCTCAATTGATCACAATTTATTTCACGCTCATTCACTCTTTACCGCCCTCTATTTTGTTTATACATCCAGTGGCGTAGCCACGGGGGGGCGTGGGGGGCAACTGCCCCCCCCCCCCCCGAAACCTTGTCGCCCCCCCCCCCCCACTGAGATTTTGAGTTTCTAAAAAAATTATCATTGATCTACATGACGCCCCCCCATGAAATGTTCCAGCCCCCCAGCGCCCCCCCCCACTGAAAACTTCCTGGCTACGCCACCGTACATCTACGTTCATACCGTATACATGGTGTATACCCATGTACGTACGCGTTAGCATGGGAGAAGTCTCATATACACCAATGTTGCTTCGTTCTCAAAAGAGTGCCCAACGTCAACGACCCCACGCCTCACATCGCATCCAACTACAGAAAAAAACCTTTTCCTGCGTGGTATACCGAACTGGGTTTATATTGTTTTGTCTGTAGGGTTGTGCATCGGAAGTTCGGAACCAGGTACTCCAGTACCTGACTACAGATGTCGGGAACCGGTTCCAGATTATGGAATCGAGTACCTGTAACCGACTTTACGAATTACTTTTCGGACAATGAAAAAGAAAGGTTTTGAATGTCATTTATGGAAATTTTTTAATGGAAACCGGGCTAAATGAAAAACACAACAGATTCACATTTGTATTCCTTGCACCGATGTGGTAGTATTATCGTTCGGACCTTTATAGACAAACTGTACAGCAACTTCCGCGATTTAAATTTTGGGGTTGGTCTCTTTAACGGGTACCCAGGTACCAGTATTTTTTTTCAATCGAATACCCGATACCCGTACCTGTAAATTTGCAAACCCCTACATGTATTTGCTTGTTGGTATTCAACAGGCATACAGTCAAAGGGGGTATACGCTCCACTGCCGTCTGCAGAAAGTTTCCTTTATTTGGCTGTGAATTATACACTGTGCTGCATCTTTATTTCTGGTTGGATTGTCTGGTTGTTGACCTGGAAACACTCCTTGTATTATATATGTGATATTTTTCCCCTGATAATATATATGCATCACTTTACAATTTACCTTTCATTTTAATGACAATCAAGTTTAACTGAAGTATGCTGTGCATGATAACTACATGTCCTTGGAAATATGTCTAAATTCTAAACAAATGAGAAAATGATTTGTAGGCTTATTTGATGATTAAAAAAAAACTGTTTAAGACGTTGGATTCTTTTTAGAAATTTGTCCCTATTGAAATTAGATTCAGCATGCGGGGAGGGGGGGGGGGACAAAGTGAGAAGGGTAAACCATCTAGTATGAAAATATTTAAACTTATACCCACTGTGCACAATCTGTCTATCCTTATATATTATGCATTTAAACAAATGCACACAACCAGATATTATACAGTACAATCGCATGGTCATTTAATAATCACACACTGTGCATGATGAAAGTGCATGGCAAAATGTTTCTGTCACTTTTTCCGAGGCGTCGAAGTACATGTAGTCACAGATCTTTATTGAATGTCATTCACTGGATTAAAATCACCTTTATAATTAAAACCTTACGGCAGTTTACCAGTAAATGAATTCAGTTTTCTGCCAACTTTGAATGATTCAGAATCATGTACACTTTTTTTTTTAAGCTACAGTCTATCATTTTCAGCTATCCAAAAACTAACTGATGTAATTATTGTTGAAAAACATACTTGGTTGAAAGATAGTAAGGGTGTCACATGAAAATCTGACTCCTATGAAAATCGGACCCCTATTTCCCTATTATTGGTTGATCCCTCGCACGTGACAGGTCACTCTCCCGAAACGATCCTAAAAATAGCATAGTATCATTCTCACGTGTGCGCAGTACTACCAATGAGTCCACATTTCATGGAGTCGGATATTCACGCTACAAGGGCACTAAAATCCCTGTGAAATTATTCTTTCTGGCATCCTGTCATTTTGAAGAAAACAACGAAAGAAGGCCTAAAGACGCATCATTGGAAATTTCCATTAGTAATTTTTTGTTTTTATTTGGCAAAGCGCGCACAAGCATTGACACGACGCACACATGCACACAGTTGCTATACTTCGTTGGATCAGTGCGCGACATCACGGAGCTGCAATCTGCTGATTGCTGAATTCGGGCGCAATTCAAATCATGACTCAGCAACTTTTGATTTGAAATCGAGATCCTAGAATGTTTTTTTTCCCCCGGAATATACAGCTGAAGCTGTACATTTGCTGTACAGGTTACATTTGTAGTTGTTCAGGTTAGATTTTGGGCACGTTTGTTGCTTCAAACGAACAAAATGCACAAATTACAAATGATGGACAGCAGGACTGTACCTTTAATACCACATTTTATCATGTACATTGGGATTTTCAAACACAAAAAATAAGTCAAATGATACAGAAACGATCTGAATCTAGAAAAATGACAAAAATCTTTCCCAGAAATTTTAACTTTTTTTTTTTTTGCTTTGTTGAATTCAATCATTCCCCTGATTTCAGAGGAATGATATGTTCAACACAGATGTTATGAATTTCTGTACAATTTACAATACATATTGTATTGATTTTTGATATTAAGAATCAGAATTTGTTCTCAATGTACAATGTAGGCCTAAATCAGTTTTAATAATAATTTAAGTCCAAGTTACATGTATTGGAGATGCTTGCTTTCATACTGCTTTTTATTGTGAATCAGTTCGTCTGTAATGATGAACTGTCAAGCACACATGTACATGTATCCTAAAAAACAAAATTGCTGAAGTTCTTAACTTCTAAAGAGCTTCCATTAAATTTTGCCTCAACTGCTGATCACACACAGCCTAGCAGCAGCTAGCAAAGTACATGTAATATTGAACGCAGGAAGTTGGAATTCCAGCCTTTTGTGTTGAGTCTGTGCTTTCCCATGTATGCACGTGTTCACAAGTCACTGCCATCAGTATTGACCAATCAGATACCTCTATGCTAATGACAGATTGGCGATGCTCGCAGACCCAGCGAATCATTTCTCATATATAAACACACCTCCATGATTCCGTGACTCTACTCCTTCCAACATTTGTTTCACTTGTTGACTTCATCGGCTTCAAGGACTTGTGTTTTTACATCGAGTGTACACGAACTCTGGATTTTGTCTCTAGCAAGACTGGCTCATTTCCCCCACGGATTTGGCTTCAACTGTAAGTTATTAGAAATTGTTGAAGTGTAATTGCTCAAAGAGACAAACAACATCTAATTTGTATATATACCAGTATTCGAGTGCTGACTCATCTAGAAATTGCAATTAAAAGTCTCTTTGATGATTAGATGAAGCTTTGCCTCGCCCACTTTAGAGGATAGGCAACATTGCCGCCTCACCCACTTTGAAGGCAACCGCTTCTTGGGCAACCAACCATTTCGTGGGTGAGTGCTTTGTGGGCTACTGCCCTCTTCGTGGTTGAATGCACTTGAACCACTGGTGGACACACACACACGCAGTCGTTCAAGGCATTGTGTTTCATTTTGTTCCAATAAATGTACACTCTCTCTGAGAGTCTAAGCGCACAGACTTATGTTCAAGGACCGTTTTCCACAAAAGATGCATGGTCTGGGTCAAGGATTCATCTGTTGTTTGCTCATTGTCTTGCTGTCATCAGGGCTCAGCACTGCCGCTGGAACAAACCTTTACCAGGGGGTGCTAGAATTTCTAAAGGACCGTCCGGACAAAATGAATGCAAAAGCGAAGTGCAAAGCCCTTACGGCGTGGCTCAATTTGGAATATGGATGCCATGTGGTGCATCTGAGGCGATTCCTGGCCACTTTCATTTGACTTTTGCTAAGTCTTTTAAGATTACAAAGACAATTTATTTCATTATTGGCGAGCTGCGAAGCAGATGCGAGCCTATGTAATACCAATTTCCGTCCGTCTGTCCGGGCGCCCGTCTGTCCGTTCTGACCAGGACCACTTGTGGGGTACCCGTCCTTTGTTCGAGGTACCCCGCAAGTGAAATCTTTAGAAAAAGGGTACCCCGCAACTGAAATCTTTAGAAA